AGAAGAAGGACGACCTTCTCGACATCGAAGAGAGTGTCCAAGACGGCAAGGCCGAGAAGAAGCGTTCTGCGCTTGTTCTGGACAAGACGAAGGGTTTCATGAAGTACCAGCGTCGCTCGGAGAAGTACCGCAGTGCCAAGACCAGGACTCGCGACTGGCAGGAGCTTTCCCAGCGTCTCAACGAGGACGAGCTCAAGTACCAGACTGCTCGTTGTATGGACTGTGGTGTGCCTTTCTGCCAGTCGGATACTGGTTGTCCCATCTCCAACATTATCCCCAAATGGAATGAATTGGTCTTCCAAAACCAATGGAGAGATGCCCTGAACAGACTGCTGATGACTAACAACTTCCCCGAGTTCACTGGTCGTGTCTGCCCTGCTCCTTGCGAGGGTGCTTGCGTTCTTGGTATCAACGAGGACCCTGTCGGCATCAAGTCGATCGAGTGCGCCATCATTGACCGTGGTTTCGAGATGGGCTGGATGGTTCCTTCACCTCCTCAGGTCCGCAGCGGCAAGACTGTCGCCATTGTTGGCTCCGGTCCTGCTGGTATGGCAGCCGCCGATCAGCTCAACAAGGCTGGTCACAGCGTTACCGTCTATGAGAGAGCCGACCGTGTTGGTGGTCTGCTCATGTACGGTATCCCTAACATGAAGCTCGACAAGAACGTCGTTCAGCGCCGTGTTGACTTCCTGGCTGCCGAGGGCATCAACTTCGTCACTGGTGTTTCGGTTGGTGAAGGCGATGTCAGTCTCGAGTCGCTTAGAGCTGAGCACGACGCTGTCGTCCTCGCCACTGGTGCCACCGTCGCCAGAGACTTGCCTATTCCCGGCCGTAACCTGGAGGGTATTCACTTCGCCATGCAGTTCTTGCACAAGAACACCAAGTCTCTTCTTGACTCTGGACTTTCTGACGGCGAGTACATCTCTGCCAAGGACAAGCACGTTGTTGTCATTGGTGGTGGTGACACTGGTAACGACTGTATCGGTACCTCCGTTCGTCACGGTGCCAAGTCTGTTGTCAACTTCGAGCTGCTTCCTCAGCCTCCTACCGAGCGTGCTCGCGACAACCCCTGGCCTCAGTGGCCCCGCATCTACCGTGTCGACTACGGTCACTCTGAGGTCAAGACCCACATGGGCAAGGACCCTCGTGAGTACTGTATCCTTTCCAAGGACTTTGTCGACGATGGCACTGGCAAGGTCAAGGGTATCAACACTGTCCGTGTTGAGTGGACTAAGAGCGCTTCTGGCGGTTGGGACATGAAGCAAGTTGAGGGCAGCGAGGAGTTCTTCCCTGCTGACCTTGTCCTGCTCTCCATGGGTTTCCTTGGCCCTGAGGCTCGTGTCCTCGGTGACGATATCGAGAAGGATGCTCGCAAGAACGTCAAGACTCCTCCTGGCAAGTATAACACCAACCTTCCTGGTGTCTTCGCCGCTGGTGATTGCCGTCGTGGACAATCTCTGATTGTCTGGGGTATCAACGAAGGCCGCATGGCCGCCCGTGACGTTGACTCCTTCCTCACCGGCATGGGTACTCAACTTCCTATCACCGGTGGTATTGTCAAGCGTCCTCCCTACGAGTTGCTTCACAAGACCAAGGGTGCCCCTCTGGAGCTCGTCTCCGCCGCCTCGTAAAGCAATTACTAGGCTGCTCGACTTTCACGGCCATTAAAAGCATCCGGTCATACATTCGTTCATGTCACTTTTGAGAATATACCCAAGGCGTCACAAAACATAGAGACGCAAAGCGCAAGAGAGAGCTATGTATGATAGAGGGAGGAGGTTGAATGATCTAACGCTGGGATGGAACAAGAGTGAATGTTTTGATTTCTGATTTTATACTCGCAAGCGTTCTTTTGATTTTGTATCGAGTCCTTCTGATTTTAAATAAATGTTACACCATGTTGTTCATGATATCTCTCTTCCGGTTCTCTGAATACAGACACAGACAATGTAAAGGTCGATGCAGAAAAATCTACACACGCCACGGGACTTTCAATTTGGGTGCCACCTCAAGAATCAATTTCATGGTGAGCTGAGCAGTGTGGTCGGGAAGTAAGCTGGAGCTTATTGTACGACCACTGCAAACTCTCGCCCAAGCTGGGGAGTGGAAATAGAAATGGGCGCAACCATTGCCCAATAGACTCGCAATATGAAGCAAGCTATTTGAGGGAGCCGCGGCCTCAGCGCGATCACAGCGTCATCAAAAAATGTTGGCAACAGCCTGTCGCGCGCTGGCCAGATTGTTCACCGACCATCCCACAAACCACACGGACGTATGGAGACATTGACGGGTTTGATTTTGAGTGAATAATTGTTGACCAAGAGACACAGCTATCATGAACGTGACTGAATTCGTGGTTGCAACAACACACGCGATAGCAACGGCATGCTCAGCACGCGGCGTGGGCGACGGCGCAACCTTGTGTCTCCACAGCTCTTACGAATACTGAAGATCATCACTACGAAGTGATTGTGAGCATCAGCCCCAACACCAGCTTCCGGCGTTACGCGCATATGGGATACTGTATCTGCGGAGGCGTGCTGGAGTCACAAAATAGACTTTGACATGCGGGATTCAGCTGGTCCAAAGCAGCTCGGTGGCTGAGTCGGATGGAATGTCTAATGTTTACGCTTTTCGGAGGTTCCGCGTGCCTACGTGATGGGGTGTTTCAGGAAGGCGCATTGCTACTCAATCACCTCTCAAGAACTATGTAAGTCATGGCTTCCCTTTTCTTCTTGTTGCCTTTCGGCTTTGCTCCCCTTCCATCATCATCACCGTCGCCATGATAGCGGGTGAGAAGGAGAAGAGGCTGTCCGGCTTCTTGCTCGCGCTTCTGCCCAGCTTCTTACACCATCTTGTCATCGACATACCTCACAGAACAAGTCGTGTGTCTCCCACCGCATGGCTGGACGGTGCTCGCGGATGGGCAGCCTTCTTCGTCTTCCTCCGACATTTCGAGTTTGGCTATCACAGAAAGGGTTCCATCTCGTACGGCACGGTTAAGGACCCCGAACACCCTGGCCAAAACCATCACTTACTGCAATTGCCTATACTGCGCCTTCTGTACAGTGGAGAGGCCATGGTGGCAATCTTCTTTGTCATCAGCGGCTACGCCCTGTCTCTCAAGGCACTGAAATTGACCAGAAAGAATTCCCACGAACAGTTGATGCGAACCCTTGCCTCGTCCATCCTGAGACGCCCACTCCGACTTTACCTCCCTTGCATTGTCTCAACCCTCATCGTCTTCTTCGCACTTCGCCTAGGCATCTACGATGGCCCGAACTCTATCGCCGGACCAGAAGATGTTTTCAGATCCATCTTCCTCGGGTGGGCCCATGACCCACAACCACAGATACTGCCAACTTTCTGGGAGCAAGCAAGAGATTGGGGACACGAGACCGTACAACTGTTTGACATCTTCACTCACAAGCATTGGCCTGAGTCCAGATACGACGTTCACTTGTGGACAATCCCACAGGAATTCCGGTGCAGCATGGTGCTTTTCTTGACTATCGCTGGTCTAGCTCTTGTCCGGACCCGAGTGAGAATGATCCTTCTGGCTCTGTTTACTGCTTGTGCATTCCAGGCAGATGCTTGGGAGTTGAGTGCTTTCTGGAGTGGCGCCTTGATCGCAGAAGCCAACCTCATTCACCAGGAGAAAAAGGACAGCCGTGTCAACGTTGACCCCTTCTCCGACGAAGACGAGCCGCGTAGTCAGTTGGCTGTCTGGAGTTCCTACTGTGCTTTTGTTCTGAGTCTCTACTTGCTGTCGTATCCGTTCCAGGAGGCTGGGTTTGCTCCAGGCTACTCCACCTTGTCCAAACTTGTCCCATCTGGTTTGCGTGCCGGAGATGGCTATCGATTCTGGCACTGCCTTGGTGCAATGATCATGATCTATTCCACCAGCCTCGACAGTCGACTTCAGTCACTTTTCAACAACTCATTGAGCCGCTATCTGGGCAACATCTCCTTCGCGCTATATCTCGTTCACGGCTTCACGCTGAAGACTGTTGGCTATGTCTCTGTATACGGATTCTGGCAGATTACTGGCAAGGACACGCTCTTCCAATACGAATCTGGATTCGTTCTGGGTGGTTTGGTCGTCATTCCTCTGACCATCTGGTTTGCGGATCTTTTCTGGAGATTTGTTGACCTTCCCATCGTGAGATTCACAAGATGGTTCGAGAATTCTCTTCTCCCTCGTGCGGATGAAAACACTAGCGACGGCTTGTTGATCGAGAAGTCGCCCAGAGAACATCAGCCATAATTTTGTTATTCATTACTAGACGAAGTGTAACGCAACCTGGAGTTTGCTTTCTTGGAGGCTCAAAACTGGAATTTCGGGTTTACCACTGCATGGAATAGACGACGATCGTCCAGATGACATGGCATGAGCTTGGATGAAGCAGGCCAACTTTGTATATATTCAGGTAGACGCCACAGTACTACCAGTTCTATTGTTTATCCTTAATGAGTTAGTGACGTCGCTGTTGGCCCTCCTATTATCGAACTAACAGGGTGTATCTTGTATGTGCACATTCTTCCGAAGCGGAAAGTGAAAGCTGCACGAACCTAGCGCTCCTGCCTTCTATCTCTCGTTTGCCCGCCATCTTCACCATCGAAGCTCAAATGACGACATGGAGTCGCGGAGATGAGCACGCCCTCAACTGACTAGGCTTGTCAGAATCTGCAGGTGACTGTCAAACACAATCAGCAAAGGCAGGAACAACGCACGCAATATAGCCTCCATCAAGAAGTGGATCTACAGCAATGGACTTCACGGCAATCTCGATCTTTGCATCGTTTTCGTCTTGAGTCTTTGATCTCGAAGTCGCCGCTGTCATATGAGGAAGGCGAGTCGACTTCCCATCTGTTTGCTCAAGAGAAGTGGGTACCCGAGTAGATGCTCGAGCGAGTTGTTGACGACACCGCCTTGGTCACCTCCCGTGCATCATTACTCAGCTGTCCATGTGAAAGAGTCAAGACTCAGGTGATCATCACCCCTGTGCTCTTGCCCATGCAGCGAACGAGTCGATTTTGGGTGTCAACTCGGGGATTCTAAATGGTTTTGTGATTGAATCGTCCTGTCGAAAACATTAGTCCCTGAGGATTTTATGGTCGTTTTTTCTTTGTGTCATTTGAAAGGAGAAACTTACCATTCCTGCTTGTAGAGCCAATTGGATTTGTTCAGTCCTTGCATTCGCCGATGCGGCTATGATGGGTAGATTTGACTTCATCTCGCCTAGGCGTTGGTGGTTTCGAATGTTTCTTGCACACTCCAGGCCATCCATGACCGGCATTTCTACGTCCTGGAAAACNNGGGTATAAGTGTGATGATGATGATAGAATGAGGATTGAGAACTTGCCATGAGGACGACATCTACATTGGGGGCAGCAGGGTCGTCTGCATTGCTCTTCCAAAGTCTGGTCGTTTTCAAAAAGTCGAGCGCTTCCTGTCCATGGTTTGCGACGTGTGTTACATAGCCTTTGAGCCTGAGGCTTCTTTCTAGCACGCGCTGGTTTACGGCGTTGTCTGATCGGTCCGTTAGTTTGGGTTGATAATATAGGATGCGGATCAATTTACCCTCCACAATCAACACGCTGACTGGTATCTTCCCTGGACCAAGCACTTGAGCTGCCGGGCTCGGAAGCCTAGCTATCTCGTTCCCATCGTCCTGCACTTGCGGTGGCGAAGTCGTGTGTGCTTTGACGAAGAACGCAAAGATGGAACCTTTATCCGGTTCGCTGGAAACGCCTATTTCACCACCCTGAAGTTCTGAAAGTGTCCGGCTGATGAACAAGCCAAGTCCCGAGCCTCCGTACGTTTTGTAAGTTCGGATGGAGCCCTGTGCAAATCGTGAAAAGACTCTGTTCTGCTCTTCTGCATTCATCCCAATGCCTGTGTCTTGGACAGTAAACCAGAGATGACAGGTGTTTCCTGAGAATTCGGCTGTGTCGTAGATACTGTCCTGAAGCGCTCTCGCGATGGTAAAATCGACCGGAAGGTCCAACGGACGAGTCTTCGAAGCACCCACGCGTACCGTCACGTCCTTAGGCCCGCTTGTTCTCGTCTTTGTGAACTTGATGGCATTGCTCACAAGGTTGATCAGGACCTGCATCACCCTACCAGGATCTATGGCCACCCAATCTGCGTCCAATAAATTCAAAGATGGATCAGCAATCGTGTTCAAGTTGACTTCCAGTCTTTTGGCCTCGACTTCAAACATCTTTTGGACGTCCTGGAGTATGGACACGGGTCGCACTGCGGATGGACTAATCCGTAGTAGGTTGGCATCAAGCTTCGAGAGAGTTAACGTGTCGGTGATTATGTTCGTCATATGATCCGAACACGACAAGATGGTGTGGACTGCATCAATCCCAGCGTCAATCAATTGTTTTAGGTGCTGATGATATCCTGCTGGATCTGTTTCTAGACTCTGTTTTGTCCAGGTGGGAAGCAGTTNTTTAAGCTCTGCCAATGACTCCAGAACGCTGTCTGCGCAATGAATTACCGCACCTAGTGGGTTCCGGATNNCTAGCACGGTCAGCTGTACTGCCACCAACTCAGTGTTCCAGAATCGTACTTCGTGACTGGTCATGTCGATGAAGGCTAAGGCATGTCTTTTGCTCTCAATGGCTTCTTCAACACGATTGAAATTGACTGTCTCGGCCCACTTGAGATGAGAAATATCCGTGAGTGAACTGACAATCTGCTCAACGGAGCCGTCATCTCTGAACTCGGGTAGCACATTACAGAGCATCCAGGANNGCCTAGATAAGAGTTCTTGATTAGCATGTTGCTTGGAGTCGATAGCAGAAAACTACCACCCCATAAAGTCGCTGGAGTCAACATGACTGCTTGGACGTCTGCAGGAACTGATCGTACCATGCGACTTTGTGTGGTGGCATACCCAAAGATACTTACTACCGCAATTTTCGCCTGCTGGATTTATCCAAGGTTTCTGCACTCTGAATTGGAACTCCAGTGGTTGTGAGCCGCACAAAAGCTCGTAAAATTTACCCTCAAGGAGCTTCAAGTCTTCTTGGTGGACAATATCTTGCCACCTGGTTTGGCTGAACTCACAGTGCGGGTGTCCGCTCATTTCATACCATGCCTCTGTAGCATATGTAATCTGTCCAGCTTGGTTTGCCACGGTGATACCGCTTGGGATAATTTCCATAAACCGGAAGTATCGACGCTCAGCTATTCGTGCCTTCTCCAAGGCCTCTAGCTTTGCGAAGGCTTCCCGTTCAGCCCGCTTCTGTGATTCGATGTCGGTGACCACTCCAATCACAGCGTCAATCTTACCGTTTTCATCTCTTGTCGGTAATGCGCTGCAAAGACCCCAGCCATCACGACACCTTGTTTCAAAAGTTCGGGCTTCTCCTCGCAGTAAAGCATTCCAATGTTCACACGGAAGAAACGATGTCTCGGCATCCGCGTTCTCATCAAAGTCCACAAGTTTGTAGAAGGCATCNNCTGCGCGTGTCAGTCTCCATGTGTTTATGATAGCAAGTGAACATACATTGGCAAATACAATCCGGCCACTCAAGTCACGCTCAAAGATCGCTACGTTTGCCAAACCTACGATCTTGGTAATCCTTTCGACCCTGAGTGCTGCAAGTTCGGCTTCCTTTCTCTGGAGTGCAAGCTCTTTGTTGACCAGTTCCGATTCAAGACGCAATCTCCTTGTCGTCTCTCGCTTCTTCCTGGCTGATTCCTGTGTCGAAAGGATCGATGACACAACGTCGGCGAACTCTCGCTGTAGTCGAGATACCCACTGCTGGTATAATTCGTTGTAAGCATCACGAGTCGACAGGCCGAATACCAGGAAGGCCTGTACTCGGCTTAGCTGGTTGGAGCTACTGGGACAGACTACAGCTCCTCGACAAGCTTCGCCGACACCGCGATTGCGTGCAGTACTCTGTCATCCTGACGGTATGTCAGTTTCGTCGATATGAGTAGGGGCTCTGGTCATTTGAGCCTGTTGGAAGTATGAGGTGAAAGGGTCTGAGGACACTCCGCCCTCTTCCGTCCCGAGATCAATATTCTGGGGTATGCTTGAAGATCTTGAGTCTACGCTTCCAACGCTCCCTTCGAGCACGTAGGTAGGATTGTCAGATTCGTTGCCACTTGAATCCGACAACGAAGGATCGTTGTGTATAGCTAGCGTGGTGGTATACAACGAGCAGAATGGGAACAACTCTGGGTAAGGAGCAACGCTCTTGAGCACGTTTGACCAAAGTGCTTTCAAAGAAGAGGACGTCTTCCATGACGCTACCAAATCTTGCAAGATCGACATCCTTCTGTCACCTGCAGCAGTCGCCGTGATCTCTTTGAAAGACCCAAGGAATCCATCCAGAGGCGGAGGTAGACAGATGACGGCAGAGCTGAAGTCGATGTTTTCTTTGAAACCACCACTGTCCACAACCATGGGAAATGCCTTACTAATGTAGGCTCTTCCAGATTGCTCAGCCTGTAGATAGATTGCACCCATCGTTTCGAAATATGGCATCCACTCCGTCCACTGCGCTACTGGTCGTCCAAAGTATTGCGGGTGGTGATCTCGAATGAGGCGTCCGTACGCTTGGTTGTATATCACCACTTTGTCGGGCCCCAAGACCAGAGATTGAGGGTCTGGGACGAGCAAAGTCAAGAAAACCTGAGTTGCCAATTCTTGTGACCAGCTATCGAGTGCTCCTAGACTTGTGGCTGACCAGTCAATCGCTCCAAACAAACGCAAGTGGTCGTCCAGGTCCGGACCCTTGAGTCGAGTCAAGACTGCATGCATTGGCGATGAGTTTGCATAGAACCCGTCCATTGTAGATTTTACGGCCATATTCCTAGGCGGATACCCAAACGTGGAGTCTCCAGACAGGTTGGTGTAGGATGATGATGATGATTTGAACTCGGTGATGTTAGTCGCAAGCCTCTGTACTCCCAGAGAGACTTGACATCGAACTTAGCACAAGGTCGATTGGATTTTCGATGGTTTTGGCAGCGCGCAATGCTCAAATCCGATGCTAAGCAGACGTCAATGGCGTGAAGGGAGAACGAGGGAAGGAAGTCCTAAGTCTCGACCGTTTCGGGAGTAAACATAGGGCGATCTGATCGCGCCGGACCCGCCGAGTCCTTGGCAACGAGTCGTGGCAGCGTTCATATTCTGTCTCGTACGAATAGAACTGTGACCAGTCTTTAGCCACAAGCCAGTGTTCCATACAGGTCATACGTATGACCAAAAGCAGGAACTGAAGAAGTCGCTCAAATTGATGGATCTTGTGTAGATGATTTCGAGACGCATCAAAAATCCCGCAGAGCCTCATTCATTCTACCCCTTTAGCAACATACTTTGGTGCCATGTTTATTTCCGTCTATAGTAGCAAATGTCCTTATTGTTTTCCGAGCTTCTGAGAGAAGAGAATCATACCACCAGCGATATCGTGGATGGGGTTCTCCTTGCCTCCTTCACTGGCCCACCCTGCTTCTTGATCGATGCCGGCTCGCTTGTAGAAACCATCCTTGCCATTCGCGCTGACCAAACTAACACAAATGCCTTCTTCAGTCGCGCGCTCAATGCCCCATTTGAGCAACTCCTTGCCATAACCATGGCCTTGATATTCGGGTCCAGTGCCCAGAAGAGCCAGGTACCAGTTCTCTAGTCGCTCGGGGGTTTTCCAGTGGTGTGCAGTGAATGGCATTGCGCGATCCAGGACATCAGCCATAGCCGGATCGAGAGCACGATTAGGCCAGACAAGAGATCCGAGGTAATTGTATGCTGGGATGATGAAGCGTCCGGTAAACCACGCAGGCCAAGATTGGGAAGCAGCCATGCGATCTGCACCAGGACCTTTGCGCGTCCAGACCGCAACGCCAGTTATGCTGGACGACTCGCCCTTAGGATGCGACACCATGACTGTAGTGCGACCGTCGAAGAAATCATTTCGAAGTTGTCGCAAGAAGAAGAGATACACGTCGCCAGGGAATTTTGATCGGTTTGGGTGAATTCGTACGCCAAACAGGTCCTCGTCAAAGAAAGCTCTAGCGCAAACATGTGCTGCTGGTAGCAAATCTGCGAAATTCGCTGGTCGGACAGGCATCCTTGAAGTGTTGTGTGCTGGGGAGAAGGAACGCGGAAACGTGAGATAGCCAAGAAAATATCAGGAAGGGACTCAAGGTCTGCCTAGGTACAGAAAGGTACAGACAGGAGATGCAGTGAAGTATACAGTAGTTATATAGATCGCTGCGTCGCAAGTGCAACAAGTTTTTGACAAACAATCATGGAAACTTGGAGCTCGTATCCGTCGGGCCTTCTTGCATGGTCGCATAGACCTACCATTCTGGGACCGAGAATCAGGGTTGTCCTCTCAACCATAAAATCAAGCGCTAGAAAGATGGCATACGACGACTAGTGTTGGGTCTGCGGCGACAAAGGCAATGAGAAATACCGTGTTTTCTCAAGCTCCTTCATGCTACGACTAACCTAGACTGAACATCAGTGTGACAGCAAATCGGGACGAAAAGACAATTGGCCTCGGGCTGAAGGCTGCCACGAGTAGGCAATACCACACACAGCTCACTCCAAGCAAGATCTAAAAAGCAGACACATCACAGTTCAAGCAAGAGAGACAAACAAGACCAATTTGCGTGAATCGTAAAACGTAAATATCATTGAGTGGGGAGTCTGGAAACCATGTTCTACAGACAGCGAGTCCAAATGGACCACCAAGAAGCGCTCGCCCTCGCTTTTGTTTTGCACATCAGTCGTTCTCGAAGAATTCCCTCAGGAAACCTTTATCCTTGACCCAACTTTTCGTCTGCCTTTTTTGTTTTACTCTACTGCAGCCCGCAGTGATATGATGAAGTGGTGATGGAAAGGAATATAACAGAAAAACGCCCCAAACCGGCCAAACCCAGGCCAAACCCATGTTGTCGCTTAATGTAGTTGTTGAAAATGAAACAGAAGAAGAGATACAGAAAGAGATGATCAATCGACCGCCCAGCGGTGGCGGCTGATATGGTGTGCGCCAGGAAAGTTGCTTCTTTTCGTCCGCTTGAGTAGAGTTGTTGAACAAAGGAGATTATGAAACTGGGGCTGCAAGGAGAAAACCGAAACCGGGAAATATACAGTGGGAAGAATCGAGAGATACGAGAGATGCACAAGGGCGGGCGCGGTGGTAGCGTTGAGACTACAAGTGGAGGTCGTGCCAACCTCCAACCCATTCAAGATCGCCAATGTCGTCGTCATCGAGAGAGTCAACGTATGGCTTGTTTGACTTCAACAGCTGCTGTCCGCAGGTAGCGGGTTGAGTGCGGGGCTTGCTAATAGGTGAGTTGAAGAAATGTTGAGGCTCTGGGTGCTGACGCCAGTCGCGGTTGCTTTGCCATAAATCAAGAGGAGGTGAGACATGCGAGTTGCTCTGTTTGCGCTCCCAAGCAGCGGTGTTGGCAGTATAGGACGGTGGGTTTGCGGCCATTGGACTGTCCTTACGCCAGCTGGTGGCACGTCCACGAGACTTGGGCTTCTTGGCACTGGAGCCAAAAGGAGTGAAGCTGTACTTCTCAGTCTTCTCGAGCTTCTCGGTCTTTTGTGGCGTGGCAGGAGCAGGCTGGTTTGCAGAAGGTACTACCTCAGTCTTGTTTCCACGTCTGAGGTTGCCCAAAGCCGACCACTTGTCAATGATCGATCGCTTCGAAGGCGGCGAGTACTTCTGAAGAGGAGGTGCAGACGAAGCAACACCGGCAACTGGCTTAGTACCAGAAGCACCAACAATGTCGCGACCTTCGTCGGTGACCTTGAGCTCACTCAGACCACGAGGGGTTGAAGAACGACCGGAAACATTCTTGATGTCCATGGCAGCCGTCACAGCCGAAAGAGGACTAGGCTCAAAAGGCTTGACAGTGGTACAGCGTTCCAAGCTTGCAGTTGATCTGAAAGCAGGGTGCTGTAACTCCTCTTCCTCGTCTTCCTCCCAAAGATCGCTCCAGCTCTTCGAGAAGTTCTCATCCATGTTTCCGTAGACCGAAGCCAAAGCTCTAGAGCTCTTGATGGGAACGGAAGCAGAGATGGGAACTGGTCTGGAAGAAGCGTGGCCAATGAGCTCGGCAGAGTTGTTGGCAGACTTGTACGACATGCCCAGGGAAGACTCGATGGTCGAGTTCAAGGAAGTCGAATCAGGATCTGTTGAAGTGAACCAACTCTTACCAGTAGTTTCCTTCTCTTCGGGGAAGAGATCCTCGGTATAGCTTTCGTTGTCAAGGATGACCGAAAGCTGACGACCATGCTTCTGCGAAGTCTCACGCAGAGCCTTTGCCCAAGGAAAGCAACCACTATTATCGATGGTAGGGCTTGTGATGGAGGGAGTGCGCAAAGGCTCACGGTTGAGGGTGGCACGGATAGGATCACGATCCTCGATGCAGAAGTCATCCATGGCGTCGTCGTCGGTGGTGAAGCTAACAACCGATTTGAGGGCGGTGCGAACAGCAGCTAGAGAGCGCTTGGCAGGGTCGAGAGCAAGACAATGCATCAAGACGTTGAAAGTGTCTTGAGACATGGTCGGGAAGACGTCAAAGAGAGACTGGCGGTCCATGACAAAGTCATCGAAGATAGGGTCTGACTGGGTAGGAGTAGCAAATGGGTTGCGAGAGAACAAGACGTTCAACAAGCAGATACCAATAGCCCAGACATCAGCAGCAGCAGGAGAGTAGCCCTGAGAGTAGCTTGTCTCTTGGAATTGCTCAGGAGCCATGTAACGATCGCTGCCAACGGCGTACTCTGTGGACCACTGATCTCTGGTAGCGAGGCCAAAGTCACCAAGCTTCATCGAGCCCGACTGAGTCAAAAATATGTTCTCGGGCTTGATGTCACGGTGGTAGACTCCCTTGGCGTGCATGAAATCAACAGCGGAAATCAACTGCATCATGAAATCACGCACGTGCTCGGTTTCCAGAGGACCTCTGTTGAGACGAATTGCCTCGTAGAGATCTCCGTTAGGGCAGAACTCGATAACCAGATACGTGTGGTGCTCGGTCTCGAAAGTGTCAAGAAGACTGACAATGTTGGGGTGCGAGCCAAGATGGGAATGGATCTCCAGCTCCTCGGAACGGTCATCGACAGTGAAGGCGGTAGGACAAGTGTCAGATCCCGATGCCTTGGTGATGCACTTGATGGCAACCGTAGCACCAGTCTTGACGTTCTTGGCCATGAAGACCATTCCAAAGGAACCATGGTTGAGGGGAGACAAGGTTTGGTAGCGACCATTCAGGAGCAGGTCCTGATCAAATTGTTTCCGCATACTGTCCATTTGAGCGATGATGTGTTGAGAGGATTAGAGATGAGACGTAAAAAGGTTTGAGACTCCGAAAACCAGCTTGGAGACGACAGGTGACACCGAAAAGCTGTACAAGCCGATCGGAAGAGATGGCCTTGGTGTCGACCGAGGAGAATCAATTGAGCAACAGTGCTATCCACGGATGGCGTAACAGAAGACAGCAACAAACAATTCCGCCAGAGATGAGGATGGGTAAATGATGTGGGGATCGACAGTATAGACGCAACGAGCCAGAGAAAAGAGGATCAAAGCCCCAAACGCACTATGAATAAGAAATAGCAGAGGTCGTTAATGTGAGCATCGAATAAATGGTGTAGTGAAAGGGAGTCCGGCAGCAAGATGGGCAAGCTGGGAGATTGGTGGGCGGACCCGGAGGTGGAAGTGGGGTGCGTTTGGTGCGTCAAGCGGTGGAGCTCTGTCGGAGGTGGCTGTTGACTTCTTTGTTGTCGGTGTAGGTGGGGAAGGAGCTGTACAGGATCGAGGGGCTTGTTGTTGGCCGGTGACCAGACGGCGGGTCGACAAAAGGATCAATGCAGCTGGTGGTAGTTCTTGAAGCCAATTGACGAAGGTCTTGTCCAGATGTCGTGAAGCTGGTGGCCTTGGGCTTTAGAGAGATGTTGACAGGCAGGAAGCCGAGGGAAGCCGTTGAGAGGGACGAGCTGATAAGACGGAGTCGGCGGAAGCTGGAGGACTTGACGGTCGCTAGACTTTGAAGCTCGCTGAAAGGAACAGGCAGCACGCAGGCAGGTGGATGTCCAAAGCTCTCGATCAAACAATGAAACAGAAGGAGGAAGTCGTAGGGTCCGAGGAGAGAAGGAGAGTTGAGGTGTGTCGGTGTAATCGGCTATCGGCGCTTGCTCTCGACTACCGCTTTCGTCGGGGTAACGCGAGGAATGCAACGGCGACTAGATTGGCAGGAACGATGCGAAACACTCGAGCTGAGGCAGTAGGTTGCGAGTGAGGATGAACTGGCTTAGGGGACGGCGGATTGGATAAGGTTAAAGGGAAACAAGACAGCTGCTTAGCGGTGTGAGTCGAAAGATAGAGAGGGCAGGACGACAGCAGAAGGAGGTGGAACCCCATCGGCGACAAGTCCCGACCAGTCACCACCCTAGTGCACAGATCCGCAAATGGCCCGACGCCGTTGCTAGTTACATCAATAGAACCGCCACACCTCTTTGCGTGCTCCCGAGGCCCACCTGACGCCTTTGCCCTTGGCCAACTCTGTCTGCCAGGCACGTCTTTCTTCGTCATCCTTTGTCCTGCCAGGTCGACTGAGAATATTCGGGAATTGACGAGCGTCATTTCGCTGCGCTCTTGCGAAACACCTCCCTGCTGCAACGAATCTGTCTTCGTAATCTCTCGTCTCGCTGAAGCCTGAAACCGTCTCCCCTACGTAACGCATTGTGCGTGCCTGGTCTGTCTGATTAGATTCGCATGCACCGCCTGTCAACAAACATTGTTCGGCTGGGCCAGCTGTTTTGATGCCGTATCAGCCCAGCGTTCTTTCTTCCAATCGCTTAGAACTCCTCTGCGTCCTCATGCCTATCCTTATCACCTGTTAGATCGTCCGAATCAGAGTCCCGCGGCCCTTTGTTCAGGGACGTGGTGGCTTGACACGGCGACAGACATCTCACCACCCCTGCCTTCCCCCCCGGCTTCGGGGCCAATCAATCTTCCCATGGGGTTGCTGCGGAAGGCGCTGCCGATGTCTTGTATATTATGAAATTTTTTTATACCATCTGAGAGTACGACGCAGCATTCGTGTTACCAACTCTCATTCTTGCACATCTCAGAAACTAGTGCTTCCTTCGCTCACCAGCCTGTCTCGAAGTCACGTTTGCGAGACCGGCCCAGCCAAGGGCGGTTGATGAGTCACGTTGTAATTGGGATCATAGACCGCAAAGGAGCAGGTGATGTCCTGATGAAACAGCGCAGCAGATTGGTGAAGAGCGTTCGCAATGCCATGTACAAACAGTTGTGCTGAGTCCACCAACAAGCCGATGATCCTCAGGTACCAACGTATCGAGCTCGAGCGTCAACGATGCTGCATGCTCCGACGAGCGGATGTGGGGATTGGAGTGCCTGCATCAAAACAATGTCGGTGTGCTTTACCAAAAAAAAAGCATGCATTCTTTGGCGCTTGGGTTTGCTTCTCAGTCAATTCTCTTTCGAACGAGCAGAAATTTCACATCCGTGCCGCCAATTCTCTACCAGCTGTACTGTACAGTAGGGGACATTGAGGATGCTCCGGCACGCAGGTCACACGCAGGTCAAGTATGCGAACCAAAACGTCAGAGTCACGCTTGCCACCATGTTTGGCTATTGAGATTTCCACGTGTCTGAGAAGAACAGCAACATGCTTGTCCCCTACATTTGTGCATACTTTATGCTATCTCTGGCGGCTGCAGAGCCCAGCCTTCTCGCAATCATACATACTCCTTGGCCCAATGGCAGACATGCTCCCAAGGTACCGCGCCAGCTGGCATTGGCATTAGCAATGTCACCACAAGTTCGCTCTAGCGGGCGTCTACTCGAAAGAATGTCTTGCGGTGTGCGTCTAGCCATCCAATGGGCAATGGAACGGTATCTTTGTATAACGGGTGCAGCTGCCTCGAACATCGAAGCTACTCATATTGCCCCGCATGATGTACCTCGATTCCCAAGATACTCTGGACAAGACTGGCCGCCAGCATACGCCAGTAATGCAGTGAAGCGATAGCTTATGTATCATGTACACCGCTCATCGAGCTCGAATAAAATCTGCCGTCCACTCAAGAGAGCCTTTGGGCGTGAGGTGATGTTGGCAGAACAGCCATGTTCAAGTGGTCTGACGACTAGATCTTCTGTCAACGACGAAGAACGAAAGCATGACTCTGAGGAACCAACTGTCGCCTGCAGCAAGCAGGCGCGATATCGTGCAGTTTATCGAGATTTTGTAAGACGGAAAAACGGTGGATAGTTGGTCGACATCAAGGTGCGGTTGCCTCGAAGTGCAGCTTTGGTCCCGACAAAGCCTTCCGAAGCTTCCAAAGTGCAGCATCTAGACTTTTACACCGCACCTTGTGCAACACCACGTTTGAAGAAATTGGTCGGCTCTCAACCCAGCAGGAAAAGATGCTTCCAGAGCACGAGAATGTGGGCACCGTGCTGCTCGATATCGGTATGTGACTGGTTCCATTGCATGTCCTTGGGCAGCAGAAACGCGTGAGCAAGTACTACGCTTCACTCACCGCACCATCAATCTGCTCGAGTTGCAAGCAGAATATTTTGGTTGCGATAACGATGGCTGATTGTTTCTGTCGTTAGAGGGCACCGTTTGCCCTATCTCCTTCGTCAAGGACACTCTGGTAGGTCGAAAGATTTTTCTTTCCTTTTGGACTCGTCACAGCGACCACCTGATCACATCACGTCGAAGAGCGTCGTATCGATGCCAGAAGAAACATACGCCATATCTGATCTGCATTCATTCGCTCTTTTGTCCTTATCATCACATCATTCGATCTACGAAACCTTGTTGCGTTTCGCATGACAGTCGTGCTTTCTCGACATTGTCACGCCGAGACTGACGTTGTATCAAGTTTCCCTACGCTCTGAAAGCTCTCTCAAGCGTTATTCAAGAACGATGGGACTCTGCCGACTTCAGACCCTACCGTGATGCTTTCCCTGCCGAGGCACAAGCATCTCCCGAAGCATTTGAGGCTCACGTCAAGGACTCGACAGCACGCGATGTCAAGATCGCCTATCTCAAGAATCTGCAGGGTGAGTCATACACCAGTCCTCGGCCATTCTTATCTCAGGCCCACACGGGTGGAAAATGTCTGACTCGGTGTTTTGTTTCGCAAGGCTATCTATGGCAGGCTGGTTATGAGAACGGCGCCTACTCCACTCCTTTATTCGACGATGTCGCTCCTCAGCTTAAGCACTGGCGTGACTCATCGAAGCAGCTAGTCATCTACTCCTCAGGCAGCATCTTTGCGCAAAAGCTCCTCTTTGGACACGTTCAAGACCCGCTCGGCGGAGCGGATGAGAAACGCACGCAAAACCTCCAGGGGTTGATCGACGGTTGGTTTGACACGACCAATGCCGGCCTGAAGCATGATGCTAGCAGCTACACCAAGATCGCCGAGGAGCTGGGCAAAGCTGCCGACAGCATCCTCTTCCTGAGCGATAATGTCAAGGAGGTTCAGGCTGCCATTGAAGCTGGTATGAAGTCTGTGGTTGTCGACAGACCTGGCAATGCCCCTCTGAGTGAAGAAGACAAGGCCAAGTACCAGGTCGTCGAGGCACTGAATGAGATCAGTCTCTCAACAGCACAGATCGACTACAGATTTTTCAAGCGATAGAAGCTCTTATCAAGTCTGTTTCCTCTGGCAGATAGCCCACCAATTGTCCCTGTCGTAGCCAGCCTCTACAATTGTGCCACCAGCCAGCTCGATGTTTTCCTCTAGCTCTCCCTTGCGATAGAGATGATAGTAGCGGTAAAATGTTTTATCACCGGCAGGCTCGAGACTCGTGCCAGTTGTCTGTGCCTGTTCGGCTGGGACTTCTTGTTGAGCAGCATCTCCTTTGTTCTGTTGCTTCCGGTCCTTCTTTTGCTTNNTTTCTCTCTTCTCGCGCATGACCCAGGGCACCATAGTATCCTGCTGGTTGCCCTCGTCCCAACCTCTTCTGCTGTCTTTCTGCTCCAGAGCCCACACATACAACAATGCCCTACCGTCTGCGTTGAGCGTGTCTAGGATGGTTTGAACGGCTTCTACGCGACGTTCTGGTGTTGACAGGTGGTGAAGCACAGCAATGCTAATTGCGAAATCGAAGTTGTGGTTCTGGTGAGGCAGAGCAAGGATATCCGAGACGACAGCAGCGTGCGGTTGGTGCGACGAGGCGAATTTGATGAGCGAGGGCGAGCGGTCACTGCCAATAATGAAGACATCAGGATTGACGGTCAAGTATTTGCCGTTTCCACATCCGACGTCTAGTCCTACAGAGCCGGGAGTCAACTCCTTAAGAAACTTCTCAATGACAGGCCATGGNNCTAAGAGAGAGAAAGCGGTCAGAAGAGCGACGAAGTACCACGGGCTGTCGAGTCACACCTTGTAGCGAGTGGCCGAGAAGTGGGATGCGATCTGCTCGTATACATCATGTACGTGTTGAGCCTCGTACTCTGCACCAGCTTGTTCCGCTGCCATATTCTTAGTTTGGCGAGCAACAAGGTCAGAATTGTGGATTGAAGCTGTTGCTGCTGCTCTATTTCTTTGTACGCTGTGACGACGCCAAGTCTGTCGAGGACGCGATGGACTTTTCCCCATTCGGACGTGCCTCGACATTTTTGTTTCAAGTCGCAAACTTTTGTTCATCACGTCTTCCTCAACTGGACTCGATAGTCTGAAGGAAACACGGCACTTATCTATTGACCTGGATCCCCTGGACACATCGCGATTTGGTTACCTGCTGGTTGTATCAAGGCTTTGGAAACGAGTCCGGCAACCGCGTGCATGAACAGTAGTCTCTCGTGATTTGCTGTTGGTCACTTTCGTTCACTCTCTACAATATTCAATGTGAAGAGAGCGCTGGAGTAACAAGGCCTTGGTTGTATTCTTCTTTCCTATTCTTATTGCGCACTCCGATTGTTCGGACCGCAATAGCACTTTCTTTACATTGTCATTGCCTATTCAGGTATATCCATCATGCAAAAGACAATAAGAAGGCGCAACAATAATGTTGCCGCCACTTGTGTCGAACATGCTCTCAAGCGCAGAACTATACAGGCATTCCGTGATCTAAGCTCTTCTCCTTGCTCCCATTGTCGAAAAAACGCGCTTCGAAAATTCTTGGTTCTCAAACGACGCTTACAAAAAATGGATACCATCTCTACTCGGCCACGTGCGAGGAGCCTCCCACCATCGCTACCTACTGTTCGCGAAGTCAAAGCCGCGCCGATCATTCAGCAATCTGTCTCGCAACTGTCATCTCAGCCCCCTTCTCTGCCCGTCCAGGAATACTCGAAACCCAGCAANAAGAGGAGAATCTCCGAGTCAGAGCCTCCGGACGCGAAACCTCAACAGCAATCCAAGAAGGCCCGCAAGCAGGAATCAGAGGAGCTTCTATCGAAAACATCCGAGTCTCAATCTCAAAAGCAAGACAGCCGCCAACCACCCGTCAACGGAACATCTAAGCCTAGCACTGTTCAAACTAAGGGCTCAAAGCTGGAGCCAGTCTCGACCAAACCGCTGAAGAAGGGAGATCAGTCACCAAAGGCTGGCAAGGCATCGAAATCCCCTACAGCGTCCGCATTCAAGACGTCAAACTCCTGGCCAGCGAGCGTGGGCAAGCCAAAGATCAAGGGCTTGAGCAACCCAATGAACTGGTGCTATCGTCGCAGCGTGCTGCAGAGTCTCATCGCAGTGCCCCAACTCTTCAACCTTCTGGACGACTCTCACAAATCGTGTCCCAAGCAGGGCAGATGCGTGACCTGCGCAATGCGACAACTACTCCTGAGCTATCACACCTCTCCTGGCGGTGTGGGCAGCCAACTGGCCGCTCTGGACGGCGCCATTAGAGCAACCGGCAGATCGAGTGACCCTCGCTGGAGCGCCACAAGTCAGACACAAGAAGACAGCCACGACTTTCTCCAGTATCTGCTTGGCACTTTCGAAAAGGCGAAAGGAATCGACAAGGACCAATTTGCTTCCCTTTTCAGAATCAAGCACAAAATCTCCTGGGTCTGCGACGGTTGCAANAAAGTACACACCCACAGCGATCCACCTGGCTTCAGTCTCACTCTGCCAATCCCAAACCGTTCGAATGTCAATCTTGCCGATTGTCTGAACACATACCACCGGGAACCCAACGTCACTATTCGCTGCGACCAATGCAAGAAGAACGTCAAGCGTACTCGCATCTTCCAGCTCGACAACGCGCCCGACGTTTTGCCAATCCAGCTCGCGCGCTTCGGTTACGGTGCTCGCGGACCCACGAAGAACAAGCAGCACGTCGATTTCCCTGAGGAGCTTGACCTTTCGCCCTGGTCATTGGACAAATCGAAGACATCGAAGTACCGCCTCCAAGCCATTGTCGCACACTCTGGCTCGCTCAAGTTCGGTCATTACATTGCCTACATTCGCGGTGCCGATGGAATCAAAGAGATCAGTGATTCCTCTGTCAGCAACAGCAATGCCAGAGAGTGGAGGAAGCCGACATCTGGTTTCAACCCATACATTCTGGTGTACATCAAGCAATGAGTCAGTTGTGGTTGGTAGTATGGGTTTCTGAAGCGTGGTGTCGCATTACTTTGCATTTCCGGTTCATTTCTTTTGTCATCAATGTCACTGTATCTTGAGCATAGCACTGGCTGGGGTTGCATTAGAAAAGGGTTTGGGTCCTGAGGCACATTGTCTGTACATAATCATCACATCGTATCTGCATTCCTTCTTTGAACCTATTTCCCATGCTCAAGATTCTGTCTCATGTCTTGTTCCCGAGCTTCCTTCTCCTCGCATCGATGTCAGAGCATCTCGGTGAAGCTACAGAAACCCACGAGGGCTAGTGGGCTCCCCACAGGGACTTTCCAGTGAACATTGCTTGTCTATAAAAAAGCCTCTCTTGGGCTATGATACTGTGATTGTTTCTTAGTCCTCGAATGTCTGGATATTATGAGTAAACACAAATGACAGACTGAAATTTATTTGCTTCTAGATCAGAGATATGTCCAAGGATGGCTGATAGACACTCATTAGATTTCCACTTCTCCCCCTCCGGCGATACTAGCTAGCTACGAAAAAAGTGACAAGTTTCAGGAAGCCTGATCTGCACACATACATCCGAACAAAGGGGTCCATGGAGTTCTGTATGTGCCGGCGACGTCCAAGACTGGACATGAAAGCTACAAATAGTTGCCATTCTTCCTGTATTCAGATCTTGAGAGTCATGGAAAGCTGATATTGGAGTTTCAAAACGTCGATCGTATGAAACGCAGACTTTTTGTGCATTCTTTGTCATGTTTGCCTGGGATGAGGCCAACATCGGTCACGAGCCATATGTATGGTCGTTGTAAGTAATTAGATGGTGGTCAGCAAACGAGGCGAACTCGTAAACACTAGAAAAAGACGGAAGTGATAAGGTTTCAAATGTACTAGAATACGTCGACTACTTGTGTAACTGAAAGAAGAAATACTTTCGGGGTCAACAGAGGAGATTCTGAAGACAGGGCCACTGATTCCCGAGTTGGCTGATGAGCGGAGTAGTGATGGTCGTAGACAGGAATCATTCGGTGGCCATTGTCGTGGACAGTGTACTTCCACTACTCTCATTGCAAGATACAGCGGTGCTTGCTCTTGGTCTTCCCCTTGATCTGCAAGTGATAGGGGACGAACTTCGAGTTTCTGATCTTTCCAGGCGCTTCCCCTCGCGTGGCGAACAGTATGCGATGATGTTGATGATACTGATATCGTCGCGCTTCAGAAACACCCAAAGAGCATCATCCTTTGCCTCGATCGCCTGAACGCGGCCAAACACATCTCCTTCAAGAGCAGTGTATTGCATGGAGGCGCCCATGCAGTAATCTGTAATGTCGGCAGCACCCATATAAGCAGGATACACTTGCTGGTACAGGCGCCAGATCTCTTCGCGGATCTTGAGCCAGGTGTCGTTGTCCGAGATGGTGATGGCGACGTCCATTTCTTCGATCGTGCCTGAGCATGCGTAACGGCCGCTGGGAAGAGCGATGGTTCTCTTGGACCTCTGTAGGGTGAGATGGTAAGAGGTTGATGTTTTGGGCTTCTCGCACACAATGATTGGCTTCTCGGACACAGCAGTGGTGCCATTGTAGCTCGGTGGTGGGTCATTTGACGACATGCTTTTGGACTCCTGTTTGAATGAAGTGGTGACAGCAGCGAGAAGGAGAGAGAGAAGCGTACGGGGAGAATAACAAGAAAAGAAAGAAGAGAGGAAACACAGCAGTCCTGAGTGAGCTCTCAAGTAAGGAACGACATCAAATCGAGCGGGGTCAGTCGCGTGGTATTTTGAGCAAACTCGCGCAGTTGAGTGTTGATCTTTGGCTTGGGAGTGGATCGTGAGAGTTCTTGCACACCATCCCCATCGTTTCCAGCTTGCTTGCTTGAAGCTTGTGATGTCAAGATGTGCAGAGCATACAACACCTGGTACGATAAGAGAAGCTCTCCTGATGTTGAAGGAAGCTGTTGATGGTCCATCGTGTTCGACCAAGTCCAACAGCATATGTTCCACAAGTCCGCACTTACCTCGCCCAACTCACTCCTTCCCCTTACTAGAAGCACGATCACGGCTTCGCAATCTTGAACTGGCTGCGGACATGACACTCTTGTGTTTTACCGTATGACTTCTACGGACGCAACATAAAGATTAGCCCAGGGATATGCACACAAAAAGAGTTTGCTATGAGTGGTCAACGACCCACCCGTCCATTACCAAGACAGGTCGTGCCTCGCGACGACTATTGCATCGTGACTTCTCTTGGCAAGCGCGATTCGATGTTTCAACGGCTATCCGACCGATAGCAACGACATGAAGCCAACGTCGTCTCGGACGGTTGTTGACAAGTCGACTGTTCCTCGTGGCTACACGCCGTGTGAACCGTTCGTTCACCGAAGAATCCACCGTCCTTGAGTCAGGTGCACATATACCACAGATTCATTCGTCATTTGCGACAAGAGGATCCAGAATTTCGCAGTCGACACTGGACGTCAGAGATATACAGACGGCGGCTTGCAAGCCCTGAAGCTTTGACTCGAGATCTGATGCGAAGAGAGATTTGCGTCGATCCTTGATATTGCGCTGATGTCGTGGACGGCCTTGAACTGTAATAAAGAAGAACAGGTTCAGAGATTCATGGAGTTCATTTCGCTTCCCCGCATTTTTCTCCAAGGCACAAACAACCAAGGGAACCAGCTCGCCTGTCATTCTCGCCATGAAACAAACCCAATTTTATATTTTGAACCATGACTTGGGAGCGGGTTTCGTGATTCTAAAAGTTCTGTGACGGTTTCAAGGTCTTGAAACAAACATGCCTCACAGATCGTGACCGATGATCATCGAACATCGACGTATTGTCATAGGGCTCAAGGGAAACAAACAGTGCTTGCTAAACAGAAACGACCTTACTATCTGCGACTACTCGAGGCTGAATGAGATGTCACTCAGATAGCGGTGATGGATTCATGCTGTGTACATCATCATTCAGCAAACGGACTCGATCTGAATGGGTAACATCATTGTCGATATAAGCAGCCACTGATGCCCTCCAGATATCGTACGCTGTCTATTAATGCGTACGGCCTTCTGGGAAGCAATTTGAACTTGCTGCGAACAGAGAAGCTTCTCGAAACACAGCAAGGACTGTTGTTATTCTTTGCTTGTCGATTAGGATCTTGGGAGGCATGCCCTCAAAAGTTACTCATGCATTCGAGCCATTAACATACTCGGCCATATCTCAACCAATCTCGACTCATATGTGAACAATAACGAATTGTGACTGAGCAGCAAGGTGCATACCTATCTGTTGAGCACAGCAAGGCTCAGCTGAGTATACTGCCAAGTTGTTGAGATGCAAGTCAAGATGGGTTCCGCGCACCATGTGAGCGCTTCTTTCTGTAAAAATCCAACCGTGGGTCGGCTTGACATGACTGTCCACATATCTACTGTTCATGCTTTGAGGTATTGCTTGTACCTGTCAGTGCATACAGGGATTATTTTTTCTTTCGGGTACGTACCTCAACACTAATCTCTGCCCTACGTGTGGATGTTGGGATATGCAGGAGACTGGAGCAATAATATCCACAGTGAACAACAAATCTTACAGCCGAGAAGGAATTCATGGCAATGACAGTTTTACTGCGTGCGATCACACATGTGCTTGATTGGAAGCTATGATATACGCTTGTGGAGCCAAGCTGAGCCATGCTTCTCAGTTGTTTCAACGAAGCCATCAAGACTTGGTTAAATACATCGCATTTGACTGTTAATCCGTAGTTGAGCATCACAGTGGCTTGGACCAATCGCTTTCTCTGACAAGAATAAGTTCATCGTCACGTTGGACCAAAGATGGAGTTCAAAGGAAGAGCGTGTCCCATCTTGGCGTATTGAGTTGGCCGTGCCGTGTCTTCAAGTCAGCTCTTACAACGGAATCTAGGCACACAGAAGTTCGAGACAGGCCCTGGGAAGTTTCAGGTGAATAGACAATAAGCATTACGGAGAAAAGCAGAGCCGCATCATAGGACACCTAAACGTGCTGATCTCATGCTGTTTCTCGGTTTGGCTATAGCGGAACGTTTCGTGATCGACTGGAGTGTTGTAAGAAGCACGCTGTGACACTGCGTCTTCACATGATGACGCATGTTGTTCCGAAGATGCTTGTCGTAGGCGACCACTTCGCTACCCTGGTGATAGGTACAGATTTTCTGTTGAACGGCTGACTTCAACGTCGCGGAGAGACGAGAAAGCCGGTTGTCGAGCCAGATGTTGAAACTCCGTTGCGGAACGTGAGCTGAACAACGGTTACGAGAATCCACATTCCACGGCATTTCATGCATTGAGGTTGCACAAAAAGCACTGCACATGAGACAGCACGTCGTCCCGATCTGCGTTGATGAGCCTCGAGCAGCCTTCAATGATCAAGGATTGCCTCGGCCAGCAAGATCATGAGTCGAGGGTGTCGAGAATCGAACAATAAAAGACGTGAAAGGGTGTGTTAGTTGACCTAATCTGGGAATCAAGGGGTGTTCGGAAGGCCGTATGAGAGTGCTTGGCAGCTGCATGCACTGCGACAACAATGTTGTGGATTTGGTCTCGCTCGAGCTCTCATGCTGATTATGTCTTGGTAGACGGAAGTCACAAATTTTCTGGTTGAGACTTTGAGGTGCTCTGAACGGCCCCTCCTTTTTCCACGCTACTTTTACGTGGCAGCGAAACCTTGTTGGGTACCTAATCGCTGTACAGATCTCGCCGGCGCTTAACCTTGTACCACGTCTTCTCCTGGCAGCAAAACGCTCAAGATTCAGGAGAGCGCTTGTCGCGACTATCTGAAGGCGGCGCGAAGACACGTTCGCATGGTGGTATGGCACCGAAGGGTGAGGCGCTGTCATACGAGCGAGCGAAGAAGCATGTCTAAACCTCGGAACTCCGAAAGCGAGAACAGGCAGGGGCTTTTACCCCACAGTATAGAGATGTATGGCTAATGCAGGAACTTTTCTTGCGACAACGAATGAAACTTGGTTGGTACCTTGATCTTCGTGCCGGGCCGCAGTTGGACCTGGGAGGGCTTGAGTGACGCGGCTTGAGCATAAGGCAATCACAGCTTTCCCAGTCCCTTGTTCCATGATTTACATTGCTACGATTTCCAATGATGAGGTGGTTGCGGAGGAGATGGATGTTTGGAGGGTAGGTTCGAATACGAGTAACACATTCCACACCTGATGGGCAAGCAAGGAGTGGCAGTTGAACCACATGTCAAGTCTAGCTCCTGAACTTTGTCTAGACTTGAAGAATGACACAGTCCCCTGAGTCCCAGGCCAGCCAATTCTTCAACACTTGCTGCAGCCAACCTTATACAAAGGAGCCGTCCGCCCAGAGAGGCGTTTTAACGGTGCGCCCACGCAATCGACAGCAGCAGCCACCTGCATTTGCGGAGAGTGTTTCATCGAGGTCCACTCTCACGCACATCCCGGTCACAGGAGTTGCGCCTATTAGTGCGGCCACTAGCGTTTTAGCCCCCATCAACACGCCCATTCAAAAGTCGACCATCACGCTGCCACATCGACTTCCTCTCTCGTTGTCCACCACCGCTTCTTTCTTGTCACTCGTTCACGCGCCTAAACGGTTGCATTTCACTCTTTTTCCCTCCCACCACACTGTCTGCAAGCCATTCCCTCTGCGAGGACTTTCACGTAAGTGCACATTTCCTTCGACTACCATCTATCACCCTGGCCGTTATATAAACATCACCGTTCGCCCTCGAAGATCGATAAGATCCAGCCCACATCCTGCACACACACTCGTTCCCTGGTGAGCACACCGTTACAGTCCTTCTCAGAGACAACGAACGGTATTATTGCGAGTCGAGCACTCTGACCGTTCAACCTTCGTGTATCATCAATCCACCACTCTTTTGCCATCACCGCTCAATTATCGTCAATACATAAAAGCTGTCTGCCTCTGCCGTCTTCTGGAAAGATCAAAGCAGTAGCAGAAGAACGCAACAGCACAGTAGCAGTGGTCACTAACATTCTGGCACATCAGTCTTTCAAGTCTTCTACATTATCCGGATCTGGTATCCTTCGAAAACAACGACCCTCAAAATCAACACCAATCAACAAAACTTAGAAAATCATCATGCGCGCTTCCACTCTCATCGCCGGAGCCGCCTTGGCTGCCAGTGCCTTTGCCAGCCCTATCCTCAAGCGCGATCTTGTGATCGACACTGTCTATGACACCGCCTACGAGACAGTCTACGTTACCGAGACCGACGACACTACAATCCCCGTCACTGTCGCTGCCCCGGCCCCAACCTCGGACTCGGCTCCTGCTGAGCAGCCTGCCGTCACGACCGAGGCCGCCACGACTTCTCAGTACTATGGTCACCGTCACTCATGGTACCAGCCTGCTGCTCAGTCGTCGGCTGCCCCTGTCGTCACCGTGGTCACCACCGAGGCTCCCGCTGCCACCGTCGTTTCGTCGGCTACCTCAGCTCCCGTCGCTGCCTCGTCATCCGCTGATCCCAAGGCCGCTATCCCCCCTGCCCAAGGATGGACCAGTGCCTGGACCAGCTCCTGGACCGTGACCCCTTCTGCCGAACCTACCACTGCTGTTGCTACTTCTTCTGCTGCTCCTGCAGCCACCACTGAGGTGAGCTTACTTGAATCGTTTCATCATCTTCTTTCTCGTGATTCTTTACACCCTCGTGTGAACTTTGAAAGCCTTATGGCCCAGATGTTCCACCCTTCCTCCTCCTCCTCCCAAGTCAAGCGTGCCACTTCAACGATCAAGACAACCACGACGGTCAAAGCACCTACTTCAACGAAGAAGACTACTGTCAGCTCGAAGAAGGCAACTTCGACGAGCAAGAAGTCTTCTTCTTCTACGAAGAAGGTGTCGACGAGCCAGAAAGGAACTCCTATCTCGACGAAGAAGGTTTCCACGACCTCCTTGAAAACCTCGAGCACCAAAAAGGTCTCTTCCCTCTCCCCTTCTACTGTTGAAAGAGTTGCTACTATCCCTGCCTCGCGCAAAGCTTGCAAGCGCGAGTCATCTGTTGCATCCCCATCCAGTTCCCTCAAGTCTACATCGACTACCATCAAGTCTACTCCCTCCCTCCTCTCTTCCCCCAAGCCAGCATCATCCACATTCAAATCTTCCTCCACATCAGTCAAAGTCACATCTACTTCATCTCGCCCTTCCTCTACCATTCCTCCTACTTCCAAGACCACACTTTCCCAGTCCAAGAGTTTTTCCAAGTCGTCATCATCGTCTTTGAGAAAGTCTTCGACATTTACAACGATCAGCAGTGCTAAGACAACAAAACAGGCTAGCTCCACCATTGCCGCTCCCTCTGGCAAGGCCACCACCTACCAGCAGATCGTCATTGACCACCACAACGTCCACCGTGCCAATCACTCTGCTTGCAACCTCGTTTGGGACGCGCAGCTCGCCGCCACTGCCCAGCAGATCGCTGCCACTTGCGTCTACGCCCACAGCATGGATGTCAACGGCGGCGGCTATGGTCAGAACATCGCCGCTGGTGTCGAGGCTAACAACGTCTCCGCTGTCATTACTGAGCTCTTCTACAACGGCGAGGTTGGCTACTACAACAACCTCTACGGCCAGGCCAACCCCGACATGACCAACTTCGAGAAGTGGGGTCACTTCTCTCAGCTTGTCTGGAAGGGTACTACCAAGGTCGGCTGTGCCACTCAGTACTGCTCTGGCGGTCTCGCAAACGTTGGTCAATACGTCTCTCCCCACTTCACTGTCTGCAACTACGGTGCTCCTGGTAAGTCTCTCTCGTACATCTGTCTCACGATATTATACTAATCTTGGTCAAGGTAACTACGCTGGTGAATACGCCGACAACATTGGTGCTTCGCTCAACCAGCCCACCCAGGACTGGTCCTATAACCTGTAAGGAATTGTCCAAGCGGCGCAGCTCTGAAAGTTGCCTGACAATTCTTGACGGCAAAAACTTCTCTTCTACAGTGCTGGACTCGTATGTTGTCTTGATGGCAGCGGAAGTCAGATTTTTCTTCTCTTCTCTTCTTTTCTTTGTTGATGGCATGTGGGGAGTTTGTGGGCAGTGGGACTGGAATTCATTCGCCCTTGCAAAAAGACAGGGGGACATCAATACTGACACAGTCACGACCTCTTTCTTCCACTCGCCTTCAGTGTCAATATTTTCTCCACGGATGTGATGGATGGCTTGTAGCCACCTTTTTGTAGCTTTCGCTTCTTCGAAATGAAACTTGCCGATGAAACGAGCAATGACTTTACTTCTATCTCCCTTCTTGTATTTGTATGTGACTGGACATTCTGCAAAGAGGTTGCACCTACCATCAGGCTTCAGGACATAGATTTTGCCCATCTTTCATGTCAAGGAAGTGACATTTTGGATGCTTCGATGTGCCGATCAGCTGATCAACAGAGCACAAAACTCGGACAGATCCGAGTACGGGTCTTGGGAGTTCGTTGTCGATGCGGAGGATGTTGCAAGTGGACCCTCAATCACCATGACGCAAGCTAGAGAGAGCGTTGGAGGTGGAGTTGGCGGGGTGGGGTGCAAGAGGTTCTGCGACTGAGACTACCACGTAACAACGTGCAAGCACTAGACCAGTGCAGACAACGGCAGCATCAACAAGCGCATGCCATTGTTATCGCGTCTCGGAGTATCCGTATCCTCATCCGTCGCCTCGTCGTCTCGTCTTCATATCAAGACTCGCCTCTTGTTCATACGCGCCATGAGCAGCGCATCGTCCAAAGGCGGCTTCGTGTCGCTCAGCAACCGCTGCAATGACAGCAAGTCGCCATACGTCCGATCGCACGCGAACAACCCTACAGCCTGGCAGCTCTGGAGCCCCGAGACGCTCGAGCTGTCCAAACGCACCAACCGCCTGCTCTTTGTGTCGATTGGCTACTCAGCCTGCCATTGGTGCCATGTCATGGCCCACGAGAGTTTCATGAACGACCGCATCGCTCAACTGTTGAACGAGCATTTCATCCCTGTCAAGATCGATCGCGAGGAACGCCCCGATGTCGACAAGGTCTACATGGACTTCCTGCAAGCCACGACTGGTGGCGGCGGCTGGCCGCTCAATGTCTTTGTCACTCCGGATCTACAACCACTATTTGGCGGAACCTACTGGCCAGGCCCGAAGAGTGACCGCGCTCATCATGGCGGCGGCTTCGAGGCCATCCTGACAAAGGTCGCCAGCGCCTGGAAAGATCAGGAGTCCCGATGCCGAGAAAGCGCTTCAAACATTACCGACCAGCTTAGACAATTCGCTCAAGAGGGAACCCTATCTGGCAGGAGATCGGGCGAAGGCGCCGAGGAGAGCGACGATACTCTTGAGCTGGAACTACTTGAAGAGGCGTATGACCATTACAATTCGAGATACGACGAGAAACATGGCGGATTCGGTGGTGCTCCCAAGTTTCCTACGCCTTCGCATCTCTCCTTCTTGTTGAGACTGGGCGAGTGGGATGGCATCGTCAAAGATGTCATAGGCGATGACGCTGTGCAAAACGCTCAAAAAATGGTTGCAACGACGCTGGAGAACATGGCCAAGGGTGGTATCAAGGATCAGGTCGGCCATGGCTTTGCCAGATACTCCGTCACGAAAGACTGGAGCTTACCACACTTTGAGAAGATGTATGTTGTTCGGGCCATTCTTTGGACTCTACTAACGCGTGTACAGNNGCTTTATGACAATGCTCAGTTGCTGCCTCTCTATCTCGATGCATGGCTGATAACTAGAAANCCCCTGTTCCTCGAAACGACTCACGACATCGCTACCTACCTTACTTCAGCGCCGATACATTCCCCTACCGGTGGTTTCCACGCTTCCGAAGACGCAGACAGCGCACCGAGTGCCTCCGAAAAGGAGCACAAAGAGGGCGCTTTCTATGTGTGGTCTCATTCGGAATTTTACAAAGCCTTGGAAGACGATAAATTGGCCAACATGCTCGCCAAATACTGGAACGTAAAGCCCAACGGCAATGTCAGCCCCAAGCATGATATTCAGGGTGAACTCAAGGGACTCAACACACTCTGTGTGACCTCTTCTCTCTCGAATCTTGCCAAACAATTCGACATTTCTGAACAGGATGCGGAAAAGGCTGTCCAGACAGGTCGTCAAAGACTTTCAGACTGGCGTGATCAACATCGTCCTCGCCCTCTTCTCGACGACAAGATTGTTGTTTCCTGGAACGGACTGGCGATTGGCGGTCTCGCTCGTACTGCTGCTGCCCTGAAGCAGTCTGACCCCAAGGCGTCTACGAAATATCTTGAGGCTGCTATTTCAGCATCGCAATTCATCAAAAAGGAGCTCTATGACTCAGAAAGCAAGACTCTGCGACGAGTCTACCGTGAAGGTCCTGGTGCGACGGCAGGTTTCGCCGACGATTACGCATTCCTCATAAGCGGTCTTATCGACCTTTATGAAGCGACCTTTGACGACTCATATCTGCAGTGGGCTGACGAGCTGCAACAATCACAGATTGAGCATTTTGGCGACAACGAGAGTGAGACGAAGGGCGGCTTCTTTGGCACACCAGCCCACGCTCCAGATATCTTGATTCGCAGCAAAGATGCTATGGACAATGCGGAGCCTAGCGCCAATGGTATGAGCGCGACAAATCTGTTCAAGCTCTCGTCATTGCTTGACGACTCGAGATACTCTGTTCTTGCCACACGTACAGCCAAGGCCTTTGAAGTCGAGATGGTCCAGCACCCTGGCCTCTTCACTGGTCTCATGTCAACAGTGGTTAACTCAAACCTCGACATCAAGCCCATTGTGATATCAGGAAACGAGTCTAGCTCAGAGGTACAGACTGCTCTGGAGCAGTTACGCCAGATGGTTCGTCCTGGCTCAACAGTAGTCAGGGTTGGTGGTGATAGCAAGAGCGAGTGGCTCAGGCAGAGAAATGAGCTCCTCGGGTCAATTGACCAGGGCAAGGATATGGTCCAGGTCTGCGAAGGCACGAGTTGCAAGCTGGTCAAGGCAGCCGAGCTTCGGGAGCTACTCAAGGGTACTCATGTATAAAATTTTGGCATATTGGGAGGTGAATATTGGCAAGGACTGGGTGGACAGGTTTCTAGGGGACACGTTGTTGATGATGCGTTACGACGGGCATATCACATATCCAAAACACCGCATTTGCAGATACACGTTCATGATGATCGTGTCTAACAGCATGTCTTCATGCTCCATCATGTTGTACACGGGTAGTAGTGTTGTACGTTGAGCTGAACCGACATCAAAGTCCGGGGAAGCACGACCGAATGACGTGGGACGAAACAAGGCATCATCACTTTCCCCCTCGATAAACAGATCCATATACAGCAGTGAAGACAGCCGTACGTACATTCTCCCCTCAATCGCCAATCCAGAAACACGAACCAATGCTGAGTCGAACAGCCCACCGCTCAACCCGCGCAACCACCGCTTGTTTCTCTGCCAGTCCTCGCACTCTCAACCCAATCTTCTGGCACCGCTCCTTCTCGCAAACATCCGCAACCATGAAGGCACAAAAGGGCACCATCCACAGCATTGAAGACGTGTCGACCGCAGACACCAAATGGGTCGCCCTGCGCAAGATCAATTGGACAGACCAAAGCAACAAGTCACGAACATGGGAAGTTGCTTCCCGCAAGACACGCGGTAAAGCCGGTGTCGATGCGGTCGCTATGGGAAACATCATCTTGCATCCTAGCAAGCCGCCTACCACTATCTTGGTGCTGCAGTACCGTCCACCTATTGACGCCATCTCGGTTGAGTGGCCTGCTGGTTTGGTAGATGCAGATGAGAGTGTGGAGGATGCTGCTGTCAGGGAGTTGAGAGAGGAAACCGGCTATGAGGGCAAGGTTACCTCTGTCAGCCCCATTGTCGCAGCGGATCCTGGAATGACTAGTGCGAATATGCAGTTGGCTATGATGGAGGTGCATCTCGAGGAAGGAGACAAAGAGCCTGAGCAACAACTCGATGAGGGTGAACATATTGAACGTGTGGTTGTTCCTTTGAACGAGCTTTACGAGAAGTTGGTCGAGTACAGCAACAAGGATGGGTATATGGTTAGTGCTAAGCTCTTCCATTGGGCACATGGTGTGCACATGGCCAAGACGAAGAGTTATCTGTAAGGTGCATAGGTAAACACGAGAGTGCTTACACAAAATCCTTCTATGAATATATAACATTACGTTGAGCAAGTCTTGTCCAACGCCTTCTCGATACACTACACCTGTCAGCATGTGATGAAGGTGCTATCAACTGAACATCTCATACGTTGTACCAGCAGCTACAATCAGAGAACGAGTGCTGTGATATATAGGTGGAGGATGTGACAGGGTTATCCAAGCATCAACGAAGCCTATATCTGCCAAACCACTCTACTACTGCTCCTTGTGCCTCAAACTTGCTTCCCCACACTACGCCTTATGTCAAGTCGACCATCACGGTTGTGAGCCCTCCCGCAATGCTGCAAAATCTCTTGTTGCAACTCGACCAGCACAGCGAAGTCGGAGTATCCCAGCCGTTTCACAGTCCAACATGGATGCGTCGCAAGTAAACCGGATGGGCAAAAGTACGGCTCAGAACGATGACCGCAGCGGCACAAGCCACGATGGACAACAGCATCAACCCTTGTATCCACCGATGTTCGGAGATGTAAATGCTTCTCAGGGCATACTCGAGCAAGACCTCACCCTGGATGATTTCTCTAATGCCCCTTTTGACTATTCCAGTCTGAGCAGTCTGTATATCCCTAGCTCTGAGACGGACTTTGTGTCTGCGATGCCGCCTATGGATACCTTTGAGCCGTCGTATGATCTACTTGGGACTGCTGAGGGCAAAGGCTTGGAAATTCCTCATGGCTGGAGTAATGAGTACATGGCAGATCTTGCCCCACTAGCCTCGTCCTTGGCCAGCAGGGAGATTCAAAGGTCTGGCAAGTCTTGGAGTCAGATCCTTGCAGATGGACGCAAACAGCAACATAGCGGTCTGCCTCGTCGACGGAGTCGTTATCGTCTGAATCGTATGGACAGCAGCAGCACGACTACGAGCATACCTATACCGGAGTCTTCTTCTGCTGAGCGCTATGACCCGCTGCAAAGATACCAGAACTCTCCACCCGAGGATGACTATGTTTCTATGGCTGCTGTAGAGCAAGCGCTGCAAAGCAGTGAGTTTGACATACTGGAGCCGAGTCAACCCAGCCAGCCTGCAGAGCTATACTATCCCGGCAGAGGACGTCGGAGTCGCCCTGGATCCATCGCTAGTGTGGAGAGCGCAGCAAGTTCTCCATCAGTCCGGTCTTCAAACTCTGCAGCATCCAGCATCTCTGCCAGATCACGTTCAGCACGCCGACGACCGCAAAGGACGCGCAAGCCCAAGACACAATCAGACAAAGCGCACATCTTCAAATGCACATTCTGCTGCGACACTTTCTACAAGAGATACGACTGGTCACGGCACGAGAGATCACTACATCTGAACCTAGAAGTCTGGATATGCTGTCCCCAAGGCGGTTCCGTATTCTCAGAAGCCACTGGCAGAAACCACTGCGCCTATTGTCAAGTTCTAGATCCCACTCTCGAGCACCTGGACAGCCACGACCACAGTAACTGTGTAAGAAGCTCTCGTCGCCAATTCAATCGCAAAGACCATCTAGTCCAACATCTCAGACTCTTCCACCGATTACAAACCATGCCACTGATCGACGACTGGAAAACCCAAGGTCCAAACATCACCTCTCGCTGCGGCTTCTGCGACCGCAGACTCACAAACTGGGAAGAGAGAATCGAGCACTTGTCCGGCCATTTCCGCGCAGGACGCACAATGAAAGACTGGCGCGGCGACCACGAATTCGAACCCGACATTGCCGCCAGAGTGACAAACGCGATCCCTCCTTACCTCATCGCCGACGAATCAGAGACATTGGTGCCGTTTTCGTCAACCAGTCATGTAGTCAGAGATCACGTCGCACAGATTTCTTCGCGGTTGACGGCTATGCCATCCGAGCCATCTGAACCGACTTCGCCTTTGCCGCTTACGCCCGAGATGGAAGCTGCGCCCGCGCAAACGAATAACTTGACCTTGAATGAGATGGTCATCTTTCATCTCGGTAGGTATGGAAGGCAACAGTTGAGTTTGGGGATCACGCCTACGGATGAGATGTTTCAGAATGAAGCTCGAAGGCTGCTTTATGATTCGGACGATGCTTGGAATCAGTCTCTTGTGGATAATCCCGAGTAAGTTTTCTTGATGTACTTGTCGAACTGAGAACGATATACTGATGTTGTGCAGNNATGGTTGGCAGCTTTCCGTTTGTTGCATGGGTGGACCAATACAGGAGCTTGATAGAGTAGATGCACTGAACGAGACGAAGCCTGTTGGAGTAATTAATGTATCCTGAGCCATGTCCTAAATGTTGCTAGTTGTCTTTGCTCCATCAAAACTGTCTGCTTTGGGATTACGAATAGCAGACTCGTTGGAAGGGGAAGGCTAATCATTCATCAAAGTAGTAGGAGTGTATGGTAGCTTTGAGCACTAGAGTTGAGGACCTCGACCAGCGATCGCTTTTGCCAGACACACCGCTGTCTGAGAAGAACTGTGCATCTGGTTGCTCAAACAGTAACTCTCTATCGTTACTAAAGGAGTACGAAGGCGACAGGGCCAACATGTAGATTTCGCCTCTTCAGACCAATCACCGGAGAAAAGAGCGCATGGAAACTCTGGTGAGCTTGTTGCTGGCACTGGAAAGGTGCTCCTGGTTACGGCTAGTGATCAAACAAGATCCATGTATGATTCAGGTGATGCACGAAGAAAGACATTGGGAGACGAGAGCAGTGAGAATAGAGAAAAAAAGTTCAGTTGATAGCGCCGCCGGGGAGTGTAAAACTAAAGAAACATAATAAAAAAACGAATAACACCTGAGAGAAGCAAGAAACATGGCAATGACCCCTCTCCTTGATACGAAAGTTGCTGGGAGAAAAAGGACAAGACGTTGGTGAGTCTCTCCCACCTTGTAATATTGCCCTCGTTCGTCATCTCGCTCGCAATCCGTCATGCTCTTTCCTCTGTAATGTACCCTGTGCCATCCAATTAGGTAGACCTGCGACGGACGGCAGATGCAGACTGAAGCGTTGTAAGCCGGAAACGACGATCGCTCTCATCATCTGGTGTGACAAGTCAAAGATGGAGAGCGACCAGGAGATTTGTTTTTTTTTGTGAGTTTCGAAGATGTTTGGCGCAAAGACAAGCACAGTCATGAGAGCACAGGCGGTCGTCGTGCAATGGCGAAAGCGGATCGGGTATCTAGTTTCGAGGCGATTTGTTTAACAACAGCCACCGGCGCTGCCGCTTTGGACGGTGCTACCTTGACCAACCTGAACGGTGGGCTTGTTGTTGACAGTGGTGTTGCCCATGCGCTCCTTGATCTGGCGGGCCATGGTCAAGAAGGCCTGCTCGACGTTGGATGCGTTCTTGGCCGATGTCTCGAGGAAAGGAATGCCGAGGCTGTCAGCGAATTCCTGTTTGGGAGCATTAGCGTGTGTTGAGTGTTGAGACGAGCGTGCAGGGAAGGCGCACCTTTGCAACGTTGTACTCGACGACCTTCTTGTCGGTCATATCGCTCTTGTTGCCGACGAGGAGCTTGTTAACGCCCTCGGTAGCGTAGCGGTCGATCTCCTGCAGCCACTGCTTGACGTTGTTGAACGAGTCCATGTCGGTGACATCGTAGACGACGCAGATACCGTGGGCGCCGCGGTAGTAGGATGATGTGATGGTACGGAAGCGCTCCTGGCCAGCGGTATCCCACTGAACGACTCCTGTCAGCAAAAGCTTTCTTCAAGCAATCAGGTACGGGATGTACTCACGATCTGGAGCTTCACTGTCTTGCCATCGAGCTCGATGGTTCTGATTTTCTATCAGGGCGTGTCAGTCTGAAGCTGGTCGAGAGAAACGGTGCTGCAAGCAATCAACGTACGAAGTCAACACCGATGGTGGAGATGTAGCTCTCGGTGTAGGTGTCGTCTGCGAATCGGAGCAACAGACAAGACTTTCCGACACCGGAGTCACCGATCAGGAGAAGTTTGAAAAGGTAGTCGTATCTGTAGAAGTTTTGTGTGAGCGAGGCAGGTTAAGGGGGTTCGTTATCGGAGCGGCGGCGGCGATAGCATTGCGACGAAGTATTGCGAGACTGGGATGGATTGTACTCTGAGGTACAAGGTCAGTATACCGGTTGCAGAGAGGCGGGCGCAGCAGAGGGAAGAGGCGGCGACATACTACTCGGGGTTCATGATGGGCGAGTTGTTGGATACAAGGTGTGGCTTGTTATGACGCGCGGAGAGAGCGGAAGATGTTGCAAGGACCGCTGGAGCGTCGGTTGCTGGGATGGATGCGTATGTATGGAGGTGGTTGAAGAAGAGTCGGTCGAACTAGGACAAGGTGGAGGTTCTAAAGTCTAGGGACGACGACGTGTGTTGGCCGTGTGAGAGCGAACAAGGGCCTGTCTCATCCCCACGCGCTTGGCGGACTCTTGCCAGGTCATTTAACGGCCACATGTGGCGCCTCCCCGAAACTGGTCCTTTGATCATTTTACCACAATCTCTCACCACCCTCCTTCACGTGCAACTGCAAACCATCTGTGACAAACAAAAGACACATTGAGACCTGCTGCTGCCTGGCCGCTTCCACTCTGATCGCACGCTATGCATTCCTGACCCAACCACTCATCATCTATACTGCTCACATGACCATATCTGCTTCTGGCCAATCTATCGCCATGCTGGTGGAGGTGGTCCTCCGTAATTGTTGCCCTGTCCTCCATAACCCCCCTGCGATGCCTGGTGCTGGTTCAACTGTTCGTGCGCTCCGCCGTACTGATTGTACTGATGCTGCGTGAGCTGATCCTGAGGCGGCCCACCATAGGAAGGTGCTTGCCCATACTGAGATCCACCATGAGGTGCTCCGCCATGTGCTGGCCCACCGTGTGCTGCTTGACCGCCAGGTGCCTGTCCGTAACTGCTTCCCTGGCCAGGCTGGTACGCAGAGTATTGCGAGTTTTGTTGAGCCTGCCCGTGGTTTGGTGCCCCGCCGTACTGGTTGTGCTGGTGCTGGCTGTATTGATCATATTGATAACCTGAAGAAGCGTGCGAGGGCTGACCGCCGTATTGACTTGGTGATGGGCCGCTGCTGTGTGACGACTGATATTGTCCATGTTGTTGTGCTGGAGCACTGTGACCAGGTGCGCCGTATGTGCCCGTCGTCTGCCCACCCGGGCCACCGTAGGAGCCTGTCGACTGGCCGTAGGGAGCGGGAGAAGAGTGGTGAGATGCTGAAGGGTTGTAAGACGAAGGAGGAGCCTGTCCGGAATATGTGCCTTGGGACGAGCCTCCAGATGAATAACCATAGCCTTGCTGCTGGTGGTTCTGCTTTGAATAGTTAGCGGTGCTGTAGTTTCCCTCTCATACACATAGAACAAACCGAGGAGCCGTGGCCACCTAGCAGTCCACCAAGAGCACCCATAGCACCACCTTGGCTGCTTCCACCGGCATTGCCGTGGTTACCGCTCGACTGCTGGCCACCCAAGAGCCCTCCAAGGCCGCCCAGAGCACTGTTGTGTCCACTACTGCTGTTTGAATGCTGTCCCTGTGGCTTGTTTCCTCCTCCCAAGAAGTTTCCAGCAAGTTTACCAACCAATCCTGCAGCGCCACCACTGTTGTGGTTCTGGTTTTGGGCTTGACCTGAGTTCGAGTGCGAGTTACCGCCGAGGAATTGTGCAGCCAGACCTCCGAGACCAGATGAGTGCTGCTNNGTTGCTGAGGCTTGTTCTGGTTCAGTAGCATGTTCATAGCCATGCNCCTACACTCCAATCAGCTTTGTTGATAAGCAAGACATTTGCTGGGACATACTCCGAGTCCACGTTCGCCTTCTTGTCCGTCCACGCCACGTGTCGCTTGTCCTTGAGCATCATGAGGGGCCGGGAAAGGGTTCTGGTGTTGTGCTGGGGTATTTCCTGGGGAGGGCACAGTAGGAGCGGCTTCGGTAGGCACTTCCCATGTCGACACGCCGGTACTGATTTGGACAAAGTAATACTTTCGAGAACTNNGAGTTCGCGTCAGTCATTTGTTGTCTTGCTGGAATCAGTGTCGCGCTCACTTTCCATCCCATTGTGCAATCCAGCCTATGGGGAGGTTAGGCGGTGCCCTGTCGGGGCCGGCCTCGGGTTCTGAGTCGGGCATTGCGAGTTGTTGGTGTCACAGGGATAGAGGGAATCGAATGTCGGATGCAACTTCGTTCTGGGCAAGATAGGTGTGGAAAAGTGCAACAGTCGCAGTCACGATGAACAAAATCACTCGACACCGATCACGCACTAGGCGGGCTGTGCTGTGACGTCGAGCCTCACTCTTGACCCCGTATTTGTGAGAGATGGTACCAAGCGCATGGGGGTTTGTTATCCAGCGCAACTGCCAGTTATCTACCAACGGTACTCGGAATGTACCCAAACATCCTGGATCATGACAGCAACGGTACAAGGGGTTTCAATGGGGATCGACATGATTAGATATTGCACGCTCTTCCAACGATTCTCTGATATCTGATGGGGTTGGAATACACGGTCTGAGAGAGCACTTTGATGGTCACATTGCGACTTGCATTATCTCGTCTCCAATTCCACTCATCAGACACTGCCTTCTTACTTTCTGGAATTGTCCAATCAAACCCTGGCCATCGGGTTGGTTGTCCAAATTGAGGAGCGCCAACCCCTAATCTCTGTACTGTGCTGCACCAGGCGCCTGTCGACTGTTTCTTGTGTCTGCTGCTACCAAGAATGTTTCACGAGAGTCCAAGGTCACTTGGAAAGGGAAAAACATATCCAGAAAGAAAAGAAAGTAAAAACGGTAAAGTCGCTGTATTAAAGACACAAGCATTTCAACATGAGTGTGGTCCTTTTTCTACCGGACCTGAAAGGATCCCCAAACCACAATGGTCTTCATAAACGCAATGATACGAAAAGTCGGCCGCTAGCCAAAAGCGTCTTTGTGCGCTTAGTACTCAGCCTCAACACCCTCCTCACCCTCGACAGAGTCGGCGGCAACCTCCTCGTAATCGCGCTCCAGGGCGGCAAGGTCCTCGCGGGCCTCGGAGAACTCGCCCTCCTCCATACCCTCGCCGACGTACCAGTGGACGAAGGCACGCTTCGAGTACATGAGGTCGAACTTGTGCGAGAGAGCCGACCAAGCCTCGGCGATGGCGGTGGTGTTGGAAAGCATGCAGCTAGATTGATAGTCAGCGTCAGGTAATTACAGAATTAACTTGCAACATGGAACTTACACAGCACGGTTGACCTTGGCGAGATCGCCGTTGGGCACGTTCTGAGGGGGCTGGTAGCAGATACCAATCTTGAAACCAGTTGGGCACCAGTCGACGAACTGAATGGTGCGCTTGGTCTTGAGGGTGGCGACAGCGCTGTGGACATCCTTGGGGACGACATCACCACGGTAGAGCAGGCAGGTGGCCATGTACTTGCCGTTGCGGGGGTCACACTTGACCATCTGGTTGTTGGGCTCGAAGCAGGACATGGTGATCTCCTGGACAGAGTTGGCCTCGTGGGCCGACTTGGCGGCCGAGACAACGGGAGCGTAGGCGACCAGAGGGAAGTGGATACGGGGGTAGGGGACCAAGTTGGTCTGGAACTCGTTCAAGTCAACGTTGAGGGAACCGTCGAAGCGGAGCGAGGCGGTGATGGAAGAGACGANCTGGTAAATTCGTTAGCAAGCTTGATGGATGGTCGGGACAGCCTGGGAGTGCATACCCTGGGCGATCAGTCTGTTCAGGTTCTCGTAGTTGGGTCTCTCGATGCCAAGGTTGCGGCGGCAGATGTCGTAGATGGCCTCGTTGTCGACCATGAAAGAGCAGTCGGAGTGCTCAAGGGTGGTGTGGGTAGTGAGGATAGAGTTGTAGGGCTCGACGACCGAGGTGGCGACCTGGGGAGCAGGGTAGACACAGAACTCGAGCTTGCTCTTCTTGCCGTAGTCGACGGACAGACGCTCCATGAGGAGAGCACCGAAACCAGAACCGGTACCACCACCGAACGAGTGGAAAACGAGGAAGCCCTGGAGACCAGAGCAGTTGTCTGCGACTCTTCGGACCTTGTCGAGGACCTGGTCGATCAGCTCCTTGCCGACGGTGTAGTGACCACGGGCGTAGTTGTTTGAGGCATCCTCCTTGCCAGTGATCATCTGCTCGGGGTGGAACAAGCTGCGGTAGGCACCGGTGCGGACCTCGTCGACGACATTGGGCTCGAGATCACAGTAGATGGTGCGGGGAACGTATTTGCCGTTGCCNNTTGGGTTGCATGTTAGCTAGCGTGTCGTGGCTGACGGAGGTATTCGGGCACGCGTACCAGTCTCGGAGAAGAAGGTGGAGAAGCCCTGGTCGTTGTTGCCGGCCTTGCGCTCCTCAGTGAGGTAGCCGTCAGGCTGTAGTGTTGTTAGTAAGAGTGTGCGCAGTGATGGAGCTCAAGGGCGAAAGCGTACCTGGATACCGTGCTCGAGACAGTAGAGCTAGGCAGACGAAATGTTAGTCGGAACCCCTTTTCGCGGCGGCGCAGGCACCAATGGCCATGCGTCGAATCAATGGCAGTATGAGCTCACCTCCCAGCACGAGTTGGCAATCTGGCAACCAGCCTGGCCGACTAGAAGCATCAAAAGTCAGTATGGAAAGCAACATGGCGGATGAAACAGGCCAAGGGGCGGTCTGGCGCGAAAGAGCTCCAGAGCTCCAGGGAGTGTCAACATACCGTTCAAACTGATGACTTCACGCATTGTGGAAGACCTGGAACCGGACGAGAGATGTGACAAGGAGGGGATCGAAAGGCAGGGCGGAGATGGGTGGTCGGCGTGGTCGTCAAGAAACGGTCTGCTGAAGGGGGAGTGCGAAGTGAAGAAGCTGGGCACGGATGTTTGTTGTTATCCTTAAAGCGGCCGGCTTGGCAAAGAAGGCGCGCTCCAGCCGTACCTTCCTCATCCACCCCGAGCACCAGGACCCCTACTTTTACGACCATGCCAATGCAAGAAGTTGTATCGCCCCTGAGGCCGTCTTCCTGAAGTCTACTGCTGAATCTCTCGTTTGGATCAATGTCCCGACCAAGACATCTAATCGAATCTGTTCGCCTGCTGCCTCTGACCATTCGATGATGCTCCTCCTGCCTATACTGTTCTACATATGCTTCCTGGCTGTTCCTGCCATAGCCAACGTGGAAAAGACTATCTTCACTGCACCCGACAGTACAAATTTTGGAGATGCTCGACCAAACTTGATGGACTTGCAGCTTGATATCCTTTCATCAAAGAAACTCTCTGTTCGGACTGCTCTTCCTGTAATATTTCCTACCGAGAAGCATCCCCGTGGGTTGTCATCTTGGTACACTCTCGAAAATCTACGTCCAGGCCAGCGCTACGAGGTTCGGATCTGTTGGGCGGCGACGGTATCATTAAACGGTCTGGCATTCTAGCAATGCATCTTTGCTAACACATTCCACAGCAANCCCACTGATTTCTTCTTGGACACATTTGAAGTCACGACTGTTTTTGAGGCCCCGGCTCTGCTGCAGGATCTAAGCAGCTACGCCGAAGAGCGCCAGAACATTCTGCTTGCAGGCGGTTCTGGAGACGCAGGCGAGTTGACGACTGCTGCGAAACGATCTGTCCTGTTTCTTCGCGTCCAATCAGCGGCAAACTTCTATACCACCGACAAAGCCTTGATGCAGCAGCCTCCTCCTGTCTACGTCGACATCAGTACGCTTCTGTCCTTACATACGTTCTAATTCTGCAACTAACCTCAATCTNNAGTTCTGGATCCGTATCTTTTGAACATCTTTCCCCAGTCATTGCTTCCCACGGCTGCATACATCCTTGTCCTGGCTGTCGCTAGTTGGTTCCTGTCTGGATTTGCCTGGTCGAAGTTGCAAGTCTTTGTGCAACCAAAACAACACTCCGATTGATAAGTCCAGGACTCAAGCTCGTAATCCTCAACCATAAACCTTCAATCTTGCCAACAATGCAGTCGGTGATTCAATCGCCTCCACGCTCCTTTCGTGGACTACCCACCGAACTCGTCCTTGAGATCCTCAGCTACCTTGCTCCGGATGCCCTCATCTCGTTCGGGTTCGCCTACTACCATCTGCTCGTCAGACACTCTCTAGCTTCTCTGCTGTCACCAATCACGATGACTCGTCTCTTCTACCAAGCAAGAATACATCTCAGAAGCCGTTCAAGTGGCCCAATGTCTCTGCCGTCGGAAGTCAACCTGCAGATACTGCGTCGTCTCGAGCCTGCTGATGCGCTGAACTATGCTATGGCTAATTATCTAGAGTTGGCTCGTCAAGGTATCGCACCCCCACTGTCTCAAGACACGCTGTGTCGCCTCAACCGTGCTATTAGACGTGGACGTGGTTCAGACTCCAACACTTGAGCAGATGATGGCATGCACCCCTGAAGCTCCAGCCTCGCACTAACCGACATATCGCCCACTTCTAATACTTTAATTTGAGCCCACTTGGTAAGAGAATGAATTTCGCATGTTTAGCGGAAGCCACAGCATGTACCAAAATCGCTGCCATCCACTTCCGCTCCGATATGGCATAAGACAGACAGTCACAGAACAGAACATGAATATCTCCTGATGAGAGTGTTGGATCGGACAAATTAGGATATTCCTCAAAACAACTTGTTTTATCGTGTCCTATCGCGACCCAGAACTGGAATCTCGTGACTGCATCTTCTTTCAGCGTGCAATGAAACATACCACGATCGAGCTTGGTCTTTTTGGCGGATTTGAGACTCCAGGTGTTTGTCAGAAACATAGCTCGATCTCGCAAGATATTTCTGCAAGCAGAGCTCGAATCTGTTCCAGGCACTGCTCTGTCAGCAGCCACGCAATTTTGTCGAAACTCAGCAGCGCACTGTCTCTGCCCCTGATGTGCCCCCAGGATGCGGACGATCCGGGCGACCATCGCGCTTCAGAAAAAGGGTCCGATGCGACGTCATGATCGTTTTTTGGTTTGGATGGAATGATCATGACCAAGCGACTCGAAGGCTTCTCGACCAACATCATCTCTTAAGCATCTTCTTTGTTCTACTTTCTGTATCCAGTCTCGTGCCGATCAACCACTGCCATCTACTACGCCATCTTGTCTCTAATTGGAAGGAGCAACCACGCAAGCAACTAGCTACTACCTCAACCTCATTACACAGTCAACATGTCCAGCAAGCTCATNCCCCCGAACCCCGACAAGGTCATGGTCATTCGCAACATCACACCAGACGTTGTCACGCTCTCGCTGCCATTTGCACGCTTCGGTCGTATCAACATCGGTGGTCGCGGAACCCTTGGTACGCTCTTGCTCGAATCCGTCGCGAGCCGCTCTAACTAACACTTCCCAGTTCGCCTGCAGAATGGCAGCGTGGCCGTCTTCTCTCCTGTAGCTCTCACCGACGACGTCCGCAGTCAGATCAACAAGATGGGTGCCGTCAAGTACATTGCTGCCAACGACGCCGAGCACCACATCTTCATGGACGACTGGCACAAGGCTTTCCCAGACGCCAAACTCATCGGTCCGGACGCATTGAAAGAGAAGCGCGAGAGCCAGAAGAAGCCATTGCCCTGGACACACCTGTTCCGCCCGAAGGACAACACCAGCTGGAACATTGACGAGGCCTTTGACCGCGAATTCGATGCCGAGTACGTCCACGCCCACGCAAACAAGGAGCTCGTCTTCAACCACAAGCCATCCAAGACTTTGATCCAGGCCGACTTGCTGTTCAACTTGCCCGCCACAGAGCAATACTCGCGTACCGATGTTGATCCCACCACTGGTATCTTCACGAAGTTGATGTGCGGTATCAACAACACGGCTGGTACGGCAATCTGGCAAAAGAGATTCGTCTGGTATGCATTGAGTGCATCGGACAGACCTGCCTTCAACCAGAGCATGGCCAGAATCGACAAGTGGGACTTTGAACGCATCATCCCTTGCCACGGTGATGTGATTGAGAAGGATGGTAAGGGCATCTTTAGAAAGGTGTTCGGGTGGCACTTGGAGGCCGCTAAGAAGTCGAGCTAGAGATCATGAGGCTTTCATCTACAGGATCCACGAGGCATCTTATTGTGCAAACACAACATTGGTTTCTCTTGTAATAACTTGTTTGGTAGAGGGAAGAGGATTTGAATTGATCACAACGCTAAATTAATACCCAATAATGAAAAGAAAACTCCTTGGCCAATGATACATGCAGAAATAAAAGCAACTTTTTTGTCCTCGCTGGATGCAAATTATGTGGGAAAACAAGGTACGCTGAAGGCATAGCAACACCAGGAATCATGGGTCTCGTTAACGTCTCAGAAAGCATCAACAAGAGAAGAAAGAAAATAGGGAGAGCAACCGAACTCTGGTAAATCAAAGTCTGAACCAGTTCTTCTCCACGGCGCGAACGAGCTCGTCTTCGCTGACACAGATCCACGAACTCTCGGTCTTACCGTAGACACCGGTGGATCCATACGGTCCCTTGGCAGAAGCTTCCCAGGTGGTAGGCCAAGCGCCATTGCTCGAGACCTCGGCAAAGGAGAAGTCGCCGTGGACAACACGCTCAGCAGGGTCGAAGATGCAGTCTGCAAAGAAGAGCTCGATATCAAGTTCCTTGCGCTTGCGCTTCTGGTTTTGCATGAGCGTGCGTGCTGAAGCGAGAACATCGCGCAGACGGCGAGACTTTTGCGCTTGCTGGGCGCGGAGGGAGTCGTTTGATGTGCTGGGGTAGCCGTCACGCTCGCAGAGCTCGAGGGCGCGGACTTGGCATTCGCCTTCCCAGATCACTTCTTCGTGGGAGAAGAGACAGGCGCACATGCTGGGGATGGAGATGGAGAGGTCCTTGAGGCGGGGGCAAGAAGCCAGGGACTCGCAGACGTGTGTGTCTGGTGAGAGGTATCCAGGGTGTGGGTGGAAGAAGCCATCGTCCGAGCGAGGTGAGTGTTCGAGGACGCGAAGAGTGTTTGCCGAGGAGTTGACAATGGCCATGACACCAGCGATTGTGACGGTGGAGAGATTGGTAAGGTGGAACTCTTCGAGGTGGTTCGCGCTGCGTGCAATGTTGAACATGTCCTCGTCGTCGATGGGCATCAAAAGCGTGTTGCCAAAGATCTTCAGGCGCTTCAGGTGCGTGAAGTTGACGCGAGGGTCTGCGAGGGGATGAGTGTTCTCGACCTCCGACCAGTCCTTCTCCTGGGCACTAGGCAGGCATGTAGCACGCAGCTCCAGAGATCTGAGAGGAACATCGTCCTCGGAGGAGATGCCCAGCAGATGGATCCAGTCCTGTGCAGTCCCATGTCGCAGCAGTGTCCAAGGCACACTGATAGAAGTGAGATGACGGCAGCTTCTCAAAACATCGAAGATCATGCGGTCTGTCTCAACGGTGTGGAAGCCGTCAAAGAACATGCGGCGGACCTCACCCGCCACATCAGGGAACTGAGAAAAGAACTTAACAGCGTTCCTGAGGAAGCCAAAGGGATCACGATACACTGCGCTGCCTTTGGGCTTACTCATGAGCTCGTACGCTCCATAGGAGGAACGACGGGTTGGGATCTCGGCCCACTTCTCCGAACCTTGCCATCTTCTGATCGATACAGTCCTGATGGTGTTGCGAATGGCCCAGTCATGCCATCTCGTGCAAACTCCACGGATAGTCGACGCTCCATCCCATCGCTGTGCTTCGGGCTGGACAGGACCTCTGACATATCTCGTCAATGGCGTTCGTGAGATGGGTAGGGGAGCTTGGGTAAGACCAAAGGTGTATTTGACGCCGTTTTCGGCATTCATCTGGGCAGCATAGTCGAGGACAGACGAGAGGATCTCGTCAGGGAACTCGTTGATGTGCATATTGTGACCTAGCAGTGCAGTAATGAAAGTATCGAAGCCAAGTGTAGTACTCCTTTGAAAAAGTGAAAGTGAATTGGTGGTAAAAGAGTCAGAGTGAAAAGTGGGAGGAGAGACAAGGACTTCACCAGGACTATATCTCCTCAAAAGGTGCATTGTCCTTACGCTAGAGAAGACTCATGGGCCCCTCAAACTCAGGTTTGTACGGACGCCCTGTGGGTGTTCACGTGGAAGTATCGAACCACAGCACAGGTAACGAGCAAAACGTGTGAGAGGATTGCAAAAGGCTTGCAGGCCATTAGTCACAGTATGGATGATGAACACATTCTTGGAATTGTATGGGGTAATTCACAGATTCTATGGGGTAATAGCCAAGCCGCGTCGGCAAATAAAGAGATCTCGTGATGGCCCTCGAAGCTATTTTTCAAACACCCTACTTAAACGGGTTCTCGTTGTGTAAAAGTACCCAGGGCGGTGGAATTGATCACGAGAGGGGTTGTTCTGGGAAGCTGAGAAGCGACGACCACCGAGGAGATGAAGAGATGAAGTCGAAAGCATGTTCTTGGCAAGGTGGTACCGCCAATGCAGGTTCGTGGCATTGTGTGATACAAAGACAGATTGACGTGTATTGACGAAATCACGAGATACCAAGGCTACGAGATTCTTTGTCTACCTAGTCACCGATGCTTGCAAACAAACAGGCAGGAGGCAACGCGCCAGATGGTGCAAGTGCTGGGTCTAACGGACAATGGGCACGTGTGATGGTGCTGACGCGGAAGTCGGCCCTGCGGTCAGAAAAGGAGATTTACTTTTCGGAATCCGGCGGTGTCGCCTTCCAGAAAATTGCATGGAGCCTAGCACGACTTGTGCGAGGTATTCGACGAACAGAGATGGTCCATGGTGTTACAGACAATATGTTTGTGGCGTCATGATTTCTATACGAGCGGAGGAGGCTTAACGTTCCCCAAATCTAAAGCCGAAGCTAGGCGGGGGGAGTCTGGAGAACCTGGGGCGCTGGAGAGACAAACAGTTTCCTGCCACGCCAGTCTAGACACTGAAAATACGGTCACCACCTATCCGCATACGGAAAAAGGCACTACGATCCGCTAGCCTAGCACGTAGACCACCGCTCGTAGAAGGAGCCGTGCTTGTGGGCTGAACGGGGTCACGCATCTCCTTGAGCTGTGTTTTGATCACATCAAAGAGATTCAGATGGGCAATCATAATCTCACCGCTGTTGAAGGCGTCAAAGATGTATGAGTCTGTGCGAGGTGCCGTCGATGCTAACAAAGCCTGTCTCTCGTCGGACTCTGTGTCTGGCTGATCTGGTGATTCTGTGGTTTCTGAGGCATCATGAGTCGGATTGAGCGAGTGCAACTCTTGATCGACTGGCTGGTGTTCGGATCTGAGCTGGCCTCGTTCCTCGAAGTCATGGTTCTGGACCGCCGTTGGAGGAGTGGTGGTGGTAGCAGAGGTCTGCTGTTTGACTCGCTGACGGGTTGTGGTTGCAGCCAGATGGACAAGCTGCATTAGCAATATCAGAAGATCCAGCGAGACCAGATGGAACTTTGAGGTGGGCCCCTTTTGGCCAACAAAGTCCATAGCCAGACCGCCATGTAGATAGCCTCTGGTAGCCTCGCCAGCTTCGGGGCGAGGGAGGACGATGTGTAAGAGGATGATCAACAGGTTGGAGCCAAAGATGGCAGCAAGATAAGGCCTGGGGTGGGGAGGCTCGGGCAGGAAGGCGGGCTTGGGTGTCAGAAAGATGAATTGTATGACGGCTCGGACGAGGAAACGCGTGAAGGAGCNAGCTGCGGTCCGGTCAGCAGAATACTCGGATGGTATGGATTGGGTCATGGCGTACTCCATGTAGTAGACGGCAGAAAGCTCGGCATAGATCAGGAGGTCGATGTTGCGCAGAGCGTCCTGCAGAAAGGCACCGCGCTTCTTGTTGAAGGTGGCCTTGTTGCGCTGGACACGCTCTCTCCGGATCGCATCGTCGAGCGGGAGCGACGAGGCGGACTCATGGTTCATTTCCGGACATTCATGTGATGCTGTGCCGTGTCGCTCGCATTACTCGGATCCTCTGTACTGGACTTGGAACGAGGAAGTCGCATGTGCTTCGCCCTGGGACTTCCGAGTATGACGCCGGCTCTCGCCAAGTCCCTTCCTCTTTGGCGTTGATTGCCTGGCTGCGACGCGTACATGCGGAACACGTCTTGCTCAAACTCCGTCTTGTCCAGTTTATGCCACTCGTCCACCACATCCAACCATGGCCAATTTCTTTGATCTGAAGGCTCGCAAAGCTGCCGCCGCTGCTACTGCCTCAGGGGAGGGTTCATCCAAACCTACCGGTCCCAAGGTCGACAATCGCCTACAACCATGGGTCGAGAAATAGTCCGTTACTAGTCCTTCAAGCAACTCTCAACAGCTAACTTGCTACCAGNNCCGTCCCAAGTCGCTTGATGATGTCTCGTCTCAAGAACACACGGTCGATGTGCTTCGCCGCACCCTCCAGTCCGCCAATCTCCCTCACATGCTCTTCTACGGCCCTCCTGGTACCGGCAAGACCTCAACCGTCCTCGCTCTCGCCAAACAACTCTATGGCCCCGAACTCATCAAGACTCGTGTTCTTGAGCTCAATGCTTCAGACGAACGCGGTATCAGCATTGTCCGAGAGAAAGTCAAGGACTTCGCCCGCATGCAGCTCTCAAATCCTCCTTCCGGTCCCGCTGGCGAAGAATACCGCAANAAGTACCCCTGCCCTCCTTACAAGATCATCATCCTCGACGAAGCCGACTCGATGACTCAGGATGCCCAGTCTGCTCTACGCCGCACAATGGAAACATACAGCAAGATCACTCGCTTCTGCCTCATCTGCAACTATGTCACTCGCATCATCGACCCTCTAGCCAGTAGATGCAGCAAGTTCAGATTCAAGAGTTTGGACGGTGGAAATGCTCGTAAGAGATTGGAAAACATTGCCGCCATGGAGAAGGTCAAACTCGACGATGGCGTCGTCGACACTCTGATCCGCTGCGCTGAGGGCGATTTGCGAAAGGCCATCACCTTCCTGCAATCGGCTGCCCGGCTCGCTGGTGCTGAACAATCAAGACCAGACGAAGATGCTATGGACGTTGACGACCAAGCCACGGCTCGTTCGGTCTCTGTGCGCAGTGTCGAAGAGATTGCTGGTGTCGTCCCTGACCGTACTGTCGGCCGCCTCATACAGGCATTGCAGCCCAACACACGAGCCTCGGTTTATGATGCCGTCTCTCGTGTAGTTCAGGACTTGGTCGCCGAAGGCTGGAGCGCCACCCAGCTGGTGTCACAGCTGTACGAACAGATACTCATGGACGATTCGATCGACAACCCAAAGAAGAATCGCATTGTCATGTCCTTTTCACAGACTGATAAGAGGCTGATTGACGGAAGTGACGAGCACCTCACTATCCTCGACTTGAGTCTGCAGATTGCTAGTGCTCTTGCTGGAAGTTGAAGTGCTGCACTGTTCATCTGATGATGTGTTTCACTAACATCGACTATACGCGCCTGAGCTGCGACCGCTAAGACGAGCCGGCAAGAAGCCCTGCAGTACTTGCTGTCCACCAATGTGAGAACTAGCCTATGCTCTCAATAAGAGAAAGGATGAGGAAGACAGCTTTGGCCGTAGCTCAAATCGCCTGCTGTCACATGTAATACTATATGCTTAACGACTACATTAAATTCAAACACGCTTCACGAGCACTATTCATCACCATGGCGTGAATCTTCAGTGACCAATCGATGCCTGGGTGTTGACCCAGTTTGACATATTCACGAGAAGGAACATACAAAATTTGGGAGTAGTGTAAAGGTTGAAAACAGGGGGTATAATCATTCGAGTCTAAATCTAGCAAACAACAGAAGAGGGAATATCAAAAACTAGGAGAGGATGCACTTGACGGGCAGGCCGCAAGGACCAGACTTGTCATGTTCCTCCTTGTGTTGAGGCTCCGTCGAAGTCTGCTGCTTTTGTACCTTCTGCTCCGTTTGACTGGGCTCGGTGACCGGTGCACCACCGCCGACAGCCTCCTGTCTGTTGTTGGCTTCCGCACCCGCGGCGCCATCATGCAGTCATGCGAAGTTGGCCTTGGTGAGGGCGGTCCAGAAGGCCTTGCCCTGCTCGAAGGCGAGCGAGAGCTCCTTCTCGGAGGGCTGTCTGCTTCCATCGGGACCGGCGAAGGTACCGGCACCCCAGGGAGAGCCACCGCGAACCTCGGTGAGGTCGGCAAGAGTACCAAAGACGGTCTTGTAACCGAGGGGAACGAAGATCATGCCGTGGTGGACGAAGGTCGACATGGCGCTGATGACAGTAGACTCCTGACCACCACCGGGGGTGGCGGTGGAAACGAAGGCACCAGCGTACTTGCCCCAGAAGGCACCGGTCTGCCATTGGCCACNCCTGGAGGATTATCAGTATATGTTCCAGGCTTCAAGGCACATCATGTAGCTTACAGTCTTGTCCCAGAAGGCCTTGAATTGAGCGGGCCAGTTGCCGTATCTAGTGGGGATACCGAAGAGGAAACCATCGTACTGCTCAAGGGTCTTGGGGTCGGAGAGGACAGGGTAGTCAGACTTGGCGGGAGCGTGCATCTTGGAGAGGACGTCGGCGGAGAGGGTCTCCTCGATCTGGAAGATGTCGACGTGACCGCCGGCCTCTCTGATACCTCTGGCCTCCTCCTCGACCAACTTCAGGATGTGGCCGTACATCGAGTACTACATGCAATGCAATTGTCAGTCCATTGCCTCCATTGCACAAGGCCCAAGCTCGAGCTCAGAAAAATAAATCACCGTGATGGGCGAGTGTGGAGGAACGTACGAAAACGATAGCGACTTTGGGTGCCATTTTGATGTGTATGTAGCAGAAGCTATGAGCAAGACGATAGAGAATAGGTGAATTGAGAGATAGAACAGGGGAGAACGCCAATTGAGAAGGGATGGGCACGCAAATATATACAATGTTTACCCCAACTTAACTTTCAATTAATAGCGGGTCTTTGCTGATTCGATCCGCGCTGACAAAGTCCAGATTGGCGATTTAGTGATGATTAACCTGACTTAAGTCTCGTGGATCGGGAAGCTTTCACCGACTTAACAGACATTACTACAAGTGCCGGCTGCTGTCGAGTCAGCTCGGTGCGCAAGCCGAATTCTTAACCCCCATTTCGCCCCTACAACAGCGATGAGTACCTAAGCAACTTAGCAAGTCCTCCGTTATTATTTCCGACAAAAAGTCATTCTTGCTTTGTTGAAGTTTTGAGTTCAGCCTTCATGTTTTACAGAGGGTTGAAAGACACGCCCTGGTGCGAATGCTTTGCAAGCAAGCTTTGGCAATCTACAAGCTCTCCGTGTGCAATAGCATGTGATCCTTATAGCTATCAAGATGCACCACAGTGTCCAGAACCAGTGCAGTATCTATTGAGACACCTCATCAATTCCCCTTGGCCATCTCCCCGAGTCCAACAACGGTTGTGTAATCTTATGGTTGATACTTCACTCCACAAAACTGATGGAGGCGTGCATGAAATGGTCTGCGATTGATCACTCGTCCAGGAACGAATCAATTGATCTGTTGGCGCTGTGTGTAGGTAGCTTATCTGCTCACTGACACATCATTGTCCATGAGGCTTGGGACACCCTGGACCAATATAATCTGCCTCATAACACGGCTTAATGGCTGTGTATAGATGGCAGCAGTGTGCGAACATCACTAAACCTCCGTCTTGGTGCCTAGCAGCACGGCTTCTACTCATGGGCTGAGAGCACATCAGCAGGGCCGTGTATTGCCAGGTTAGGGTACTGCCAAGCTGGAGTGTCAAATTTACCGATCAGCTGCGAGGAAAAACAGTGCCGTATACCAATTTGCAGACCGATGTTCCCGTGACATTTGTCTCTCAAGTACTTCGGGCAACTCATGCGGCCGAATAATGTCATCAAACAAGCTACTCCTTCTACCCACCATAGCTAGCCATCTCTTTACCATCAAGTTTCCTATCCCGGAAGTTGCCGCGCGTCTGGACGCGCTGTCCTATCGCTTCGACGCGGACTAGATGCTCGAGTACCTCGACGCTACATCGCTTTGTTATATCAACATATAGCAGCCGCGATCTGCTTATTTGAGAGTCGCCTACTACAGTTCAAAAAGGCCCTGTGTGGGCTTCTCGCACGCACTAGAAGCTCCAGCCGTATGTCACTTCAATGCTCACTCTCCTTTCACTTATTGCTTGATATAGCAATTACCTACAGCAAAGTTATTTGCTAACAATCAACAAGCAAACTTTCGCTGTGTAATGTCGTGATCAGAAGCTGGCTTCGACTTTTCCATAATGGATCTCTCCCATCATCTGATGGGCGGCGGCATCATGGACGGCGGCACCATGGACGGCGATGTCATGGATACCACAGAGATGGACACTTTTGTGCTAGACGCGCAAACCAAACATCAGAACTTATCGAATGGACAGCACACTGCCGTGACCAGATCACCTTCTTTCCGGCAAGAAGTCATTCCATTGGCTCAAAAGGCGCAGACCATCTTCCATACTCGACATCTCAGACTGGCCTGGTCTACGACGTGCGAATGCGCTTCCATGTCGAGGTGCGCCCAGAAGTTAACCAAGGTGTACATCCGGAAGATCCCAGACGAATCTATGCGATATACAAGGAGCTAGTCGACGCGGGCTTAGTTGACGATCCCAACACGGTCAGCATAGCGTCATCTGTGCTGGCGAGAATACCGACTAGATTTGTAACGAAACAGGAAGTATGCGCGGTACATACGGAGCGACACTATGACTGGGTCATCAGCCTAGAGGAGTGGGATAACGACCTTCTCCACGACGCTGGTCAACAGATGGACAGTATTTACCTGTCCAAGAACTCTCCTATGTGCGCAAGACTTTCAGCTGGAGGTGCGATAGAAGCATGTCGAGGAATTTTGAACGGCCACGTCAAGAACGCCGTGGCGGTCATCCGTCCTCCAGGACATCACGCCGAGCACGACGAACCGATGGGATTCTGTCTTTTCAACAATGTGCCTATCGCGGTCAAGGCTTGTCAGAGTGAGTTCGGAGACAAATGCCGCAAGGTTCTTATCCTTGATTGGGATGTACATCATGGCAACGGTGTGCAACAGGCCTTCTACAACGACCCCAATGTGCTTTACATCTCTCTTCATGTCCACCAAGGAGGTAAATTCTACCCTGCTGGACCCGCTGGAGACCATCTGCACTGCGGCGAAGGAGCCGGTCTCGGAAAAAACGTCAACATTCCGTGGAGGACAGCCGGTATGACAGATGCCGACTATCTTCTTGCATTTCAGAGGATTGTCATGCCCATCGCACAAGATTTCGACCCCGATCTGGTGGTTGTCTCTGCCGGCTTCGATGCTGCGGAGGGTGACATGTTGGGCAAATGCCATGTCTCACCTGCTGGCTATGGCCACATGACACGCATGCTCATGTCGCTGGCTGATGGAAAAGTTGCTGTGTGTCTCGAAGGAGGATACAACCTTCGATCCATCGCGATCTCCGCCCTTGCAGTTACTCGTACGTTGATGGGCGAGCCGCCAGGCAGAGTTGTCACCACAGTGCCGACACCTTCTGGCGTGGACACGGTCGAAGAAGTTCTTCGCCAGCAAGCAAATTACTGGCCGTGTCTGTTTCCTAAAAACCCTTCTCAACGTCTCAAGAAATTGGGAAGCGAGAGAATGCACGACATCGTCAGAGATTATCAAGCTGCGTGGCTCTGGGAGAATCTTGGGATGACGAATTTATTCATCGCGCACAGCAAAGCATCAAGAAGCTTCAAGAACCAGGTGTTGGCGACGTAAGTCAGTATGATGTGCTTGCTAGACTGCGGCTAACTTTCGTAGNNACCCAACCATTCGGAAGCTCGTCCACTCCTTGTCATCTTCCACGACCCGCCAGAACTCACCGGCGAGACCGACCCGAGAACTCGAGAACTTCAACTCCACAACACATGGCTGGTGCGTTTCTTTATTTAATCAAGCTCGACATCCACTGACATTCTGCAAAGNACTGATTCTGTAAAGCAATACACGCAATGGGCAGTTGAAAGAGGAATTGCCGTCATCGACATAAACATTCCCAAACATGTCACGGAGGTCGAAGAAGATCATATATTCGCTGCTGAAGCAAACCCACAAGAGAGAAGCGAGGAGACGGAGTTGCTTGCGAAATACTTGTGGGACAACTACATTGAGTAAGAGAAATGGAGAAGCCTTGAGCACTGGCAGCTAACTGTTAACTAGNNACTGAGCGAATCGAACCAGATCTTCTTCATGGGCATCGGTCAAGCCTACTCAAGCCTGGTCGGATTCCTGAAGAAGAATGACAGATGCAGAGACAGACTTTGCAAGATCATCGGCTTCATATCCGATTCGTGCGGTCTACCATCCTACAGATCTACAACAGACGATTACCTGGATCGATGGTACAAGCAGGTGTCGAGGATCTTCGTGGCTGAAGATCACTATGTGTGGGAGCGGAACAAGGCGAAGAACCCATCTAAGAAGTGGGGCTCGTTGCAGAAGAGCGACCACAACGACATGCAAGAGATGTTGGCGTATCATCACAAGGAAGTCACGGGTATGCTGGATGTCGAGATCCAACGGAAGCAACAGAAGCAGTTGTCAGACGCACCGGTAGCAGGCGCCAGTGAAGGAGAGATGTAGGATGGCTTCAGACCGTCTTCTGATTAACTAGAATTGAATCAGAGCCAGATCACTGTGTGTCAACGACCACCGAAGTTTCCAGAAACCAATTGCGCCAGCGAAGAGCACCATGTAGTATGCGATCGTCCAGGTGATGGGCAGTCGCTGACCGTTTGTGCCAGTCCTCAAGGCGTCAGTCACGCTGCCATCGTCAGAGTGTGCCTGGTCTAGCATCTCTTCTCCAAGTTCCTGTCCGACACGGCCCCAGAATCTAGGTAGACCCATCCAGTTGCAGAAACTATGGGNCAGGATGCATGCTACGAGAGAACTCGTACGCAGGTAGATGAAGGCAGCGATGAATCCGAACAGCGAAGTGTAGAGGAACTGGAAGATGGACCGAATCAAACCAGGCAGTATAACCGAGGGAGTCAGAGCAGTAGCTAGATAGCTTGCTCCCGGCCGCCGAGAGGAATTTATGTGTTCATGCAAGTGATGTACATGAGCCACGCCGAAGATCAACGGCGAGGTGAACGTTATGCGACGTGCAGATGTCTNGTTGTGGATGATTAGAAAGTCGATGAGGTGAAGTGACACTTGCAAGAATCTACGTACCTGCGCCAGTAGAAACAAGGAGATTGCAAGACTTCTGAACACCAGTTCTTCGCTTACTGGACCAACGACGAGATTTCGCCAACCTATCAGGTCGTCATAGACCGTTTCCTTGATTGCAGTAGCTCCCCAGCTTCTCCATTCTCCCTCGACAATGGCTCTCTCGAACAGAGGTCCAGCGAAGAGGATAGCTACAAGCAAGAAAGACTTTGCAGTATCGAGGACGTTCACGGGGTACACGCCTAGTAGATGAAGCACTTCCCCGACGGCAACATGGCCTTTGGAAAAGAGCACACAGACAGTAATGATTACGCTGGCCACACAGCTCCAGAATACAGCGCGGGTACGAGCCTTGATAACCGAAGGCGTATTACGATTGGTGATGGAATTGCTCCGAAGGGTTGGCGAAAGGTAGAAGGGGGCAATGTAAATGATGGTGAAAAGGACGGTTAGGCCACCTGCCACGTGAGAGTCGATTGCTGGCGCTGTCACAGAAGATAGAGGTCAGTTCGTACGTTTACATCTGATAACGCTGCTTGTCGATATACGATGCCGGATAGATAGCCTTGCATGATTTTTTCTTTTTTCTTTTCTTTTTTCATCCGGCTGTATCGATATGTACTTACTCGTGGGTACCATGATTGAGAGCTGTCGATTATGCTTGACAGACGCGCCGCGAACGCCGAAGTCTCGTTCTTGCGTGAGATGTTTTGATGTAGGAGATTACACAACGGCAAGAACAAACGGTAAGCTCAGGAATGGTGCGCGGCAGGCGTTGTCGACGGACAACAATAGCAAAAGGGAGAGGCTGGAGATGACGAAACGGCCAGCAGTTGAAACGCTGCTTATCCGCAATCGACAGCGCAATCACTCCGCCTTGAATGTTCGAGGGTTGTCTCGAGGAAGATTGAAGACGCAGGTGTTTGTCAAAGTCGATGTTTGAGAAGAGCATCCAATGATGTATGTGTTCGTCTCGGATGCTGGTTAAGAATGAAGTCCATGCTTTCTTGACCCAAGCCTGCGGTCGCCAGTGCGCTGCTCATCCGCGTGTGCAGGTCCCGCAAGAGAGGTTCGCACGTTGCGCTGGTTGGTCTCTCGCAATTTCCTAGGCTTGTGTTTTTGGATCATCTGTGAACCAAGAGCCCGCACGAGCAAGCTTTTGCGACACCCGGCTGGGGCTTCGCGTATCGAATGTTGTGCAGAACCGTCTCTCTTTGCGAATCCTATCGCCGTCAGAGATACGACTCGACGGCGTTTCAGGGACGGAGCATGTCGCTTCCGCACTAGCCAGGCCCCTTGGTGCCCGCAACTTGGACGCCTCATTGAACCGGCCATCCTGACAGCTTCTTGTCCGTGTGGAACTCATCTCCCACAACCGGTTCAGGGCGTAATGGCTACTGTATGGCCAGTAGACCTTTTTGACTCCTATGGCACGGACGCGTCGTCCGCTTTCATATGGACGACCATCTGCCACTTCTGACGGCAGAGGTTTGGCTCTTTCTCAGTCTCTCGTTTATCCCACCAGTTACGCTCTTTCCACCAGCCCTACAAGATATTGTTATTCCGACCCGCCGCTCCCCGCTATCGTGATTCGCCATCTTCTCTGCGTTGTCCTGAATCGTCTCTTAACCCCGTCACTCCTACTCGACACGCTTGCCAGCCTTTTTTCTTCTCGCCCAACTCGACGCGTTTTGGGCCTCTGGAGCCATTTCCGTCCGCTCTTTGAAATGTCGATCTACTAGTGTCTATTCCGCTCATTGTTCCGCATAACGATAACCTGTCACTCTTTTATTCCAACAATATTTTTCATTTCCAACATCATTTCTAACTCCACATGTCTGGTCGCCTTTTCTCGCCGCGGCAGTCCATTGAATTGGACAAGAACGGCAGATTCAATCTAAGACCGGCTTCCTCGAAAAGCCGTCCTGCACTTCACGAACGGACTCCCTCGGACCTCAACCGCGATAATGGCGAACATCCTACTATCAGACTCGTCAACTCGAATAACAGTCTAAAAACTGTGTACAACAAGCATCCTTTTCCACACAAGCCGGCGCAGGTACTACAACCCACCAAACCCTCAAAACATGGGTACACTATTCAGAACGACAACCAAGGAAGCTCGAGCCTTGCTTCCAAGGTACACGATAAGCTGCAGCCTTCTGCCGACCAAACAGGAAGGCTCTCAGCACAGTCTATGAATAACAGACATTCTAAGCGTTCCTCAAATTTCTCTCAGTCAACGACGACCTCTGCTGCAGACACATACTGCAATGACGACTCAATCTCTCCTACAAGCTGTCGATTTTCAATGGACGGAACTCTGCGAAATACGCCAACGCCTATAGCATCCGAGGAACGCGAGAAGGAGAGACTCAGAGAGGAGGCTCTGCCGGCTGTCGTAGAGACGAGTTTTGAAGCGTCTACCATCCGCCCCGTGACGGCGTCTACCTCGTCCGCATCGGCACCAGGCTCTCGGGGCTCCGACACCACCAACAAGAGCATGGTCTCAAATCCTCAGCCTGGAAGATCTGGATCTGTGGCTGCGACTAGTGCATCAGGGTCGTCAGGTCCAAACATCGAAGTTTATGATGTGAGCTCGCCGTCTCAATACTCAAGCACGCCGCCCCAACACTCGAGCACACCACCTCGAAACTCGAGCACACCACCTCGGAACTCGAGCACGCCGCCCGATCACTCAAGATCTAGTTCGTACAACGTCGTTCGTTATGCTAAATCTACTGAGAGCATGACGTCGGTTCAATATGCCCAGGTTCGCCCACCTACAGCTCAGTCATTGTCTGCAAGCAGTGCTTGGGATTCCAGCGAGGCCGAGAACCTGCCACCACTTTCCGTGGCTAAGAAACGATCGCACATGCACTCGGCATCGGCTGGTGCAGTGCGCTTGTCGAATCTCTCCACGATCGCATCCGAGTCCGAACCTTCAAGCCAATCGATCATACGTGAATCCAGCAGTTCAACGGCTGACATCTTTACATCGCCACCCGTAGTGCACCCCTCCTCGCAATCGGGCAATTGGTATGTCAGACGCCAGACCATCGGCTCTAGCTCATATTCGTCGATGATGACCGACAGCAACTACCAAACGGTGTCAACCGAGAGCTCTCGCTGGGAACTGAATCGAGAAAACTCTGCAGTTCCAGAGCCTTTGTTCTCGAGCAGTCCTCGTGATACTCAACAGTTGAGTAGCCCAATGATCGCTCATCCGAGCTCATCAGGCATCCATGAACTTTCTGGCGACGTACCATCGGAGCAAGATGACACCATTGCCGAACTTCAGTCTCATCCGTTACGTACTCAAAGATCGGGTCTTATGTCTCGCGGGAGATCGGCCTCTGAGCCTCGCCCTCTCTCTGCACGATCAAATCATACCCTGGCAACAATGTACAACCCTGATCGCGGCTCTCAAGGCTCTTCTATCTTCCCGCAATGGGCCAAATCCTTTTACCGTGGGAAGCTGCAATTCCCTCCTGGAAACGAGAGTACTGTCAGCCTCGCTCTTTCAGACGGGCAAATACCGCCTCATAGCTCGGCTTCTCAATCTATGCGTATGATGCCATGGGCTCATCACCGCCGCTGGGAAAGCGCTGGAAACAGCTTGATGAGCATGCAACAATCGTCTCAAGGTGGCACTCCTCGCAGCACGTCTCCAAAATCTTCTCACTTCCTCCCAAGTATCTTCCGCCCTTACCGACCTAGAGCAAACATGAACCAGAGCCAGTCTACGAACACCATGTCTGTAACACGGAGCAGTAGTCTTGCTGAGCTATATGTCGATGAGAGTCAGCTTGATTTCGCCGACAGTGACGACGCCAGCTCAAGGTCAAGCTCAACTGACAGTATGGTTATCACGACGATCCCTCGAGGCAGACACAACTCCGCAGCTGCCTTCCAGCCACCACGTCGGCAACAAACAGTCAACTCTGGACGCGCGATACCCCGTGAGCAGACGAACAGCTCTTTCTACCCACAATCTCTGGCCGCTAGCCACATGTACAACACACCTCCCCATCTCACACCTTCTCGTCGCCTATCCCACCGCCTCTCCACTTGGCGCGCCCCCAGCTTCGACGAAGCTCTGAACACTCTCGTCTTGTCCCGTGGCAACCGCCAGATACTGTTTTTCTGCCTTGGTTTCTTGTGTCCATTCTTCTGGATGATTGCAGCGTTCTTACCCTTGCCGCATAGACCTGTGCAAGCCACTATGGTCAATCTCGAATCTTCCATCCAGGACTTTTCTGAGCTCGAAGGCGAGAAGAGCCATTACCCTCGTGGTATGCAGCTCGAGATGAGGCACTGGGATCTAGAGCGCAAGTACCTCAAGGCTCGTTGGTGGAGAAATCTCAACCGCATCATGAGTTTCGTGGGCGTTGGCATCATTGGCGCCATCG